CACCCAAAGAGATATGGCAAATGATCAACGCTCTCAAATTGCAATCGAAATTGCAAGATACACCATCCGTTCAAACCCAAACTGAAACGGTTGTAAAGTCTGGTACGAGTGGTGGTCATAAAGAGTGTTCTCCACTTGCTAGCACGGATATTCGTACCAGATATTTTTCATGAAATATACATGGATTATGGACAAAATGGTTGAATACAACAGCGTTTTTTCACTATTAATGGACCTACAACAATCTAAAATCATTTATTCTATTTCTCTACTTATGTTTTCCTTACGAATATCTTACTTTTCCTACTTAATCGAATACGCTATTCTTTTTTGATGTATTTTTCAATTAATTATTCATTTACATAATAAAACAAAATTTCGAAACCATACTTCACAATTGTCTAAAATCGTAAGCACTATGCATTCCTTCGGTTTTCTCTCTATTCCCGTCGTTTTAGAGGTAGTTGCGGCACCAATTGGTATATTTCGAAAATCACATCATAATTTATATAAAGCGGATAACAGAGCGACAGATATTTTGTGTTTTGAAAAGTGCAAAAATGTGGTTTTCGAATTGCAAACAGATGGAAAAGACAGCTTCAGAATTAGTTTTTCAGAAAGTCCATTGTTTGAGTGTGCTCACCAAGCTCTGGATCTTTGACCCTTTTAAACATCGGATCATCTAATCTCTTGCCATTTTCGCTGAATGTCAGTTTTAAATTTACCTTGTTTTACTTATCCTCTTATAAAATATTTGATTTTAACGTTTAGATTATACTGACGAATACAATTAATTTCGAATGGAAGTTCTAAAGAACATTGAAAAAAAAATCTTCGAAAACGTCAAAATCAAATTAATGAGATTTACGAATCGTATTCAATGCACTTCGAAATTACACATTTTAATAAAACTAACAAAGAGTTGATCATAATCAATTGAGTGGGTCAATTGATAAGATGAATGATCAGAGAGATAAACGTCGTTCACGACGAATCCAAGAGATTACGGTGACGTCACCTGTGATTGAATGTGACAATGTGATCAATTTTTGAGTCATTTACTGATAAATGGTCGATTTTACACTTCAATTATTCCAAATAAACTGGTAACAACACTGTTCAGAGGACCAGTGACGTCAATATTGGTTCAACGACTCACCGAAGAGCGGATCTGTCGTCACACGCGTCAATGTAGGATTTTGCTTGATTTATCGATTTTTTAGCTGTCGAAACATCGTCTATGCAGTGCACTCGATTTATCACGTGAAATCCTAGAATTTGTTAACCGAATGACCTATGGCTACTACGATGAAGTACGACGTTATATCTAACGTGAACTGCATACGCGCGGCGCCGCAAACAAATCATTCTTCCGCTAACCGAATATTAGGATTAAATGCTACATCTACGCGTGTGACGACAAGTCCGCTGCTCCATTGAGGAGCACAGTAACGCCAGATCACACAATATTAATCGCGTCCATTCTTCATCTCTTCAGTTGCCACAGCTCCAATTCATGAAAACGATGGAACGGTTGGTGGCAGAGATAAATTCATAAGTACGCCAAGGACTACTACTACCAAAAGGACTACGACCACAGCCCGTACGACTACAACAGTCCGTACTACGACAACAAGACGTACGACAACGCCAGGTCGGCCAAGTGCAACTTACACCCATCCCCGACCAAGTTATTCAACAACAACCTCCAGCTGGAAACCAATGAAACCAACTTATTCCACAAGTACAATGAAACCGCCAAGCTACGGAAACGATGTGGTTCCGTCTTCCAGCACTGTTGTCGGCGTGGTGATTGTAGTTTTTGTCATATTGAGCTTAATCGCTATTTTAATTGTATGCTTAAAAAATAAGGCATGAAACCGAATGAACCAACCGTATGCATAGATCAATTTTTTGTTTCATGCTCCCTCACAATTATTAGTAACTTGACAGATCACCACCACCACTACTATTGGCGACAATTTACCAACATTAGGCTTGTGAAACGCTTCGGACTATTTATTAAATAAAAAACATTGTCGCGGGAGAAAGTGACAAAAATAGAAAAGAAAATGCTTTAGTGTTTTCTGCTAAGAATTTATTTCTCATCTAAAAAATGTTAATTAAGATTTTCCAATCGATTTTTTGTAATCTAATTTCGATGTCCTTTTCGTTGCATCGTAAGTTTATAAATAATTTCCCACCGCCGTTACTAAACTCGTGTTCGATTGATTTAAATCAAACTTTGTCTTTGATTTGGCCCACTCTTCATTGCCCTGGAGGTGGTTGTGATCGTACGGGCATTACAGGTTTGGGTCGCACCACGTGCCGCTAAGAATTCTTCAATTTTTTTGTGAGCTGAAAAAGAACAATCGAATTATTTTTTCTGGAAATTAAAGTTGTCTATGAATTTGTTCGATAAATTTCTTTCAATTCTTTAATTTGCAATTAAAATCACCAAAGTGTTCGACATTACCAAGATTACGTGCCCTACAAAACGGTGTCCAATCGCCGTTATTCTTAATGTTGATATCAGCCAAGTTTGAAACGAGAATTTCAACGACTTTTAAATGGCCATGGTCCACAGCTGCATGAAGCGGTGTGTTACCTTCTTGGTTCTGGAGATTTACATTGGCATTGTTACGGACAAGAATTTCGGCGGCTTTGTCTTGACCTAAATCAAGCATTTGGTCAACAGAATTTTGAATATTTAACTATTATTTTTTGAATAATGATAGAGTTAATTTGTACCAGCAAACGATGCAGAGTACAGAGGAGTCCATTTGTCTTCATCCAAAGCGTTAATATCGGCACCAGCTCGAAGTAACATTCCAATAAGATTTTCATGACCTGAAACGAGTTTTGAAGCAATTATCCCATAAGGCTACGATAGATTCATTCATTGCAAATGTTTACCAAGCTCTGAGGCTACATGGAGTGGTGTATGTTTCTTAATGTCTTGGATGTTTACACTCGCATTATGTCTGATAAGAACTTCGGCAACTTGATCTTGACCTAAAAAAAACGTCGGTTTTATGTCAACCATGTACAATTTATCCAACCATAGATAATAAAAATAAATTTTCGATGGAAAAAGTTTTTTTTTTGACGGAACTAATATCTATAGATAGAATTACAAACTCGATGAATATTTAACGAAATGAAGTAAAAATTCACCAAAATATGCTGCCAAATGCAGAGGCGATTTTCCACGATTATTCTGAGCGTTGACAGTTGCATTGTTTTGAATTAGAATCTCGGCAATTTGTTGAGAACCTTAACCGAAATGATAATAATAATTTGTATAATTTGTTCGAACTTTTTTCATGAAATTTTCTTAAAAATCTATCAATTGATTTCAAAATGTTAGTTCTGGGCTATAAAAATGTCGAATACCATTTCGAGCAACAAGATGAAGAGGTGTCCATTCATCCTTTTCTCTGCTATTCACATCGGCAACGTTTCGAAGTAAAAGTCGAACAACCTTCTCTTTTCCTGAATAAAAAAAAACATAAGCCTAGATTAGATTCCTGAAGTAGAAGCGAAAAATTTACAGGAAGGGGATTGCACTTCATAGATGGGAACAATGAAATACACAATTAACTAGTATAAAAAGTAGTGAAATTTTTAAAATAGAAAACGAAATTTTTCATATTTAACACTATGACTGTTCTTCATATTTGCAACATATTACTGTTCTTGGGGGACTCCAGGGCCCCCAAGATACTTCATATGAAATCTGGACTGTGATAAGAGATAACAAATTAGTGTCTGCAGCAAAGTTGTAATACTCAAAGTTTACTATAATTTTGGTGTAACAAATATTGCTTATCTCTTATCAGTTCCGCGAAAAACGCGAAAAAACGCGAAAATCGCAAAATTTTCCCACATCGTTTTAGTGAAGATGATAAGAAGTAAGAGACTTGCCTCTTCGACAGAAATGTAGAGCAGCTTGAGTACTACAAGTTCACCATAGACATGAAATCGTTATCTCTTATCAGTTTCGCGAAAAATGATTATCAAAAACTCGAATTTTTCGCGTTTTTTCGCGTAACTGATAAGAGATAACGACTTGATGTCTGTGTTGAAGTTGTAGTACTCAAGCTGTTCTACAGATTTGCCGAAGTTACCAAGTCGTTATCTTTTATCAGTTTCATGGAATACGCGAGAAACCGCAGAAAATCGCGAAAAAACGCGTTTTTTTCCTTATCATTTTTCACGGAACTGATAAGAGATAACGAGATGGCGTCTAAGGCAAAGTTGTATTTCTGGTTGAGTACTACAATTGTTCCGATTCATTATTTCGTTAATTCTTATCAGTTCCGTGAAAAAACGATAAGGAAAAAAACGCGTTTTTTCGCGGTTTTTTGCGGTTTCTCGCGTAATTGATAAGAGATAACGGAATAATGAATCAGAATAATTGTAGTCCTCGACCAGAACTACAACTTTGCCTTTGATACCATCTCGTTATCTCTTATCAGTTCCGTGGAAAATGATAAGGAAAAAAACGCATTTTTTCGCGGTTTTCTGCGGTTTCTCGCGTATTCCGCGAAACTGATAAGAAATAACGACTTGGTGTCTTCGGCAAAGTTGTAGAACAGCTTGAGTACTACAACTTTACCACAGACATCAAGTCGTTATCTCTTATCATAGTCCAGTTATAATATAACATAGCCATGGGGCCCTGTGGTCCCCCAAGAACAACAGCGTAACAAGTTTTGCGGCAGGCTGTATTTTACACATACTCACACATATGCATATGTTTTTTTTCTTCATTCGTGTAGAGAAATGTTCAATCTATACAATGAGACTTAACTCCGGTTGGTTTATACACTGTTTAGTACTTTTATTCAACTTTAAAGTTCGCTGGGGGCCCTGGGTGCCCCAAGAACAATCATAGTGTTAAAGCCATGCTCATAAGGGAACTTGGGTGAAGAATTTTGAATTTTGTAATATCAAAAATGGATTATTTAATGCCATACCTAACACTGCTGTGTGCAATGGTGTGAATCCAACATCGTTTTTCGAATTGACATTAGCCCCAGCTTTGATGAGAATTTCGGCGATTTTTTCGTTATCTATTACAAAGTGGGAGAACATAGTTCGATTTAAAAATTGCAATATTGACTTATTAATTTCATTTGATTGATAACAATTTCGAATTAAATTCTATTAAAATTGCTTTCTCTAAGGCTCCAATGTCCTTTAGGTGAAATTATTCTAATTATAATTGACATGTTTTTACTGTCACTCGCTGTAAATACGTGTAAAAAAGAGTAAAAATTACCATCTTCAGCAGCAAAATGAAGGCAATTAAATCCTTTCTCTCCGGGGATATTTATAATTGCACTCGCCTTAATCAGAGTTTCCACGACGCTTGCTCTATCTAATTTTTGAAAAAAACGTTCGAAATTTATTGAATACGATGCTTCAATACCAAAATCATATCATTCTGAATTCTGTTTTGAACCCATGAACTAAATCCATATCAAAATTGTGCTCAAAATATACTCTATTAATATGGTTTACACCAAATTCACATCGAATTTGTGCTCATTTTTGATGTGAGTCAGATTTCCACACCAAAAACTCCATACAAATCAAGCACATTTTTGATGTAACTGACAATACAATGATCTTTTGGTTCTGCCGTTGCAACGGTCATTTATATTGACACATTACTTATCATTATAGAGAACATTTTGAGCACATTTTGTGATGTGAATTTTTTTTATTGGCATTTTAAATTTATCAAACTATTCCAATTACCATTCAACGTAGCTGTATGAAGTGGAGTATTTCCACGAAGATTTTTCGCATTAACATCAGCGCCATGTTTGATGAGAACTTCGGCCACGTTGTTTCTACCTGAATGAAAAATAATTAAAAATGTGTTCAAATCTCACGTTCAAAATCATAACAATGCACTGAATCAATAAATTCGATGGATTTACCCGATGTTGAAGCTACATCGAGCGGAGTTTGTCCCTCTTTGTTCTTTGCATCAACAATTGCATTGTTTCGAATTAGAGTCTCAGCAATGTTGGCGGTACCTAAGGAAGAAAAAAAGATTTCTTCCTCAATTTGAATCGATTTTTTTTTAAATCAACATTGCTGCCTTGTCCAAGTATAAAAGAACGGTATGCTATCGCATATTTGGCTTCCGAAACGTTCATAAATGGTCCCTGAGATTCAGATTCTGAGTCATTGATGCCATTGGCCCTACAGGTTGGAACACATGCAGAACACATTTCAATGCGCAATCGAAAAAACACACAACATATGTTCGCAAGCGGTGAAACAGATAAGAAGTTGAGTTTGGAGTGTTTTTGCTGGCATTTAGTTTCTGTTTCTATCTAGTTTGCTCAGGAGTAACCGATGTAAGTGATTTTTTTTGTTTCAGCGATTGTTATTCTATGGACTTAATACTACGTAAATGGCGTGCGATTATTTAGGTGGATTTTTCATGGACAAACTATAACATGTCAGGATTGATGTCATTTGGAAAGCTTCAAGATATGAAATGATCAGGTTTCGCCCGTGAATGCATCAATTTGCTTAAAGGAAATCCAAATGTGAAAAATTAGATCTCTATGGCAGATCAATGAAAGAACAAGAAATTTTTTTTAATCGGAGAAATGCTGCCTAATCTTGTTGAGTTGAGTTAAGTGAGCGATATGAAGATTACACCGGATCCAGTCATCAAATTTATTCAAAGAAATACACATGTAGAAAAGATCACTGAAAATTGTTGGCCCAAAAATATACGACGCCTTATATGATCAAGTGGGTAAAGACTGGACATTAAAAGAAATTAGCAACCAAATAATATTGGAAAAAGTATGGAAAGATTGAAATCGGCCAAACAAAATGTTTGGAGAGACTTTTTTGTCAGAAATTGATATGGTTTTGATTCTGTGTCATTTGTGCAAGAGCTATTCTACTTTGGTTAAATCACATTCGGAATCTCATATGCGAGTGCACACTGGCACCAAACCATTCCGATGCAACCAATGTTCGAAGGAATTTAGTCAACGAGGTACCTTAATGGGGCATGTGAAAACACACACCAATCTACGTCCATCGAAATTTAAGTGTTCGATCTGCTTCAAATGTTTCTCCAACCAGATGGAAAAGGGAAAATACGAAGAAAATTGCAAGAGACTTGGTTATGAATGCTATTTGTGCAAGAGATTAAACAGCCAGTTTCAATTTGTTCTGAAGGTTCACATGCAAATCCATAGCGGTGACAAGCCATTTCGATGTGGGCTTTGCTCTAAACTTTTCACACAAAAAGCAAATCTCGTTGTTCACAAGAAAATTCATAAATAATTCCAAAGTCTTAATTCCTATTCGGAACCGACTTTTTTTCAATTGAAATGAATTGTGAGTAAATAAACTGGCATTCTTGATATGAATAAAGCAGGAGAAAATCTTTGATAAATGAAGTGTTTTTTTTTCGTATTCCAAACATTGAAAATAGGTGAAAATTTTATCAGAATTTCGAATTTTGTAAGTATTTTGAAAATATCGGAAAATATTTACTATTCGCAGCCGTATAGTGAAGAGGTGTCCAATCATTCACATCTTTTGCATTAACATTTGCACCAGCACTTATCAGAATTTCAGCTATTTGTACTTGATCTAAGCAAATAATTATAATTTGAAAAGAATTATAAATTCGTCAATTCTGAATGAGTCACTTGAAGTTACCTGATCCAATCGATACACAAAGTGGAGTCAAATCATTCAAATCTTTCAGATGAATATCAGCGTTGTAGTTAATCAAAACATTTGCCACTTTTTTAGAACCTAAAATAGAACATCAATGGATTTTACACAACAATATTTCAATATATTTTCAGATTGTTTGCTGACTGATTTCATCGAAATTACCTTTCTGTGCACAAACGTGAAGCGGTGTGAATAGTCGGCTATTTTTCATATTGATATTTGCACCGTTGAGAATTAAAAATTCCGCAATTTTTTCATGATCTGATTAAGTTTGGAATTTGAAAAAAAAAAAATTTGAATGTTAAAAAAAATCAATAAATTAATTGAAAAATATGTAAGTTGTAATATGTAAAAATATGCAACGATCCTTCTTTCAAAAAAATCAATTTTTTTTTAAATCAACTCGTTCAATTTACTCTAACGAAATTGTTTCTTTGGGCCATTCTCAACTCATTTTTCTACCAAGTATTTGAAAAATCACACATTTTGTGCGGAAAATTGAGAGTAAATATCGGGAAAGTACCATTTGCAGCAGCTAAATGAAGAGGTGATGTTCCTTCATCGTTCGTAACGTTCACATCAGCGTTAGCCGTAATTAGCCTTTCCACAATACCCTCATGACCTGAATGAAAAATAGTTATTCCATTTAGTTTCAGCTGAGATAAAAATAATACCAAATACCTTTATCCGCTGATTTATGAAGGGCTGTCCACCCATTTTTGTCCTTGGCATTTAAATCAGCGTTATTTTCGATGAAAATAATGGTCATCGCTAAGTTATCTGTGGTGGGAATCGAATACATTCACATGAATTATACACGGCTATTGTGCATGATAAAAAATTGACTATGATCAGAACGGTGTTCTCATCAGAACACTCACCACGCTGTACAGCCAACAAAAGTGGCACTTCACCATCATCATACTTGTTGTTAATATTCACATGACCATCTTTAATGAGCTTACGCACTCCATTCACTCCACCTTGTCAATGAAAAATCACCCAATTTCCTTAATTAGTACAACCCAAACGTTTATTAACTCAAGTCTTGTCTTACCAGATTCAATGAAAGTACGCAATTGAGCTTCCTTTGTTGGACTTTGTTACGGAATAATTGAAAAATTATTGGATCAAAATGAAGAGTATACAGCAAAACGAGTGTTCAACTACTCATTGAACAGTTCAGCGAATGTCAAATCGACATCAGCCGATATGTTTATGGAAAGAACTTTACTTACGTGTTTGCAGTGGGTTGGGCTAAAACAGAAGAAATGCTTGTTACTTCACTCTATCTTTTACTAGCAGACAGAGCATTTTACTCAATTGTTCTGTATGTTACTTAAAAACCTAAAAAATCAAATCGAATTTTCACCTGAAGCCACTCCAGCGATAGCTGTACTTAAGCAGACAGCAAAGATGAACAGCAACTGCATCATTTTTGATACGAAAATTTTACTAGGCTGTATTCTAAACAACAAACAATAATCACATTTGATGAGTCAGAAAACGTCGTTAAAGTGTCACTATCTGAAATGAGCTTGTTCGAATGTTTATCAATTTTTTACACGTCAAGTAATGCTTCATTGCTTCATTTATTTTAACCTTTTGAACTTTGATATGAAACGTCATAAAATTCGTGTCACGAATATTGCGTATTGACGATCATTTATAAAATGAAACTCTTGGAAAAGGCTTTATTTCTTCTTAAAAATACAGACAATTTCAGACCAAGTGGCTCAATTGACACATTCATTTAATTTCATTCACACGTTGATTTTGATACTTGAAAAAGTAAGACGTTTTGCTCATGAAAAATTTGAATTATATTTTCACTTTTTAATTTGACACTTTGAACATGAATATGGTTGGTTCATGAACTTTATCTTGAACGGTAAAAATTGGCACCAAATTAACACGAGAATCACTGATAACATGCACTATACTAAAAGTAAAAAAGCGGCTCAAAAAACTTCCGACCTTGATCATTTCCTTTTGGTCAATACAATTTGATTTAAATTGAACTTCTAACAAAACTAAACACGAAAACAAATCACTCTTCTTAACTCTATTTCATTTGCATGAGAATTGTTGATTATAGAATCTACAAACCCAGAATTACGTGCACCCAAACGTATGAATAATCTAAGAAATAGGGAAAAAATCACTTCTTAACAGAAGCAAGTGCAAAATTCAACTGAACGAAATGACGATTTTTGATTATGCAAACCATGATTTTTGATATTACTTAGCCAGGCCCGTCACACGTTTACATTCGTTTCCCACATTCATGGGCTCATGCATCTGCAAGACTCCATATTTCACGGTGACCACAATCAATGTCCGTTGTTCATTGTACAGCTCGCTCATAAGTTCGCAACGTTGTTGAACGTGTAAAAAAATCGCGCACAACAATCCTGCATATGCATGTCTGCCGAGCCTATGAAAATGTCGTTCGAACGTGTAGAACGTTGGCGAACATGTGACGGGCCTGAGTGAGTAATATAAAAAATCACGAATCAATATTTTTAGCCAAGCATCATCTTGCTTGCTCGCTCTTTGCTTATCACAGCGTTTGGATTCGCTCGTTTTTTTTTTCTTCAATGAACCGGTTTTTAATGTCAAATATGTCACAGATAATACAAATTTGTTTGAGAGATTTGTATTTGTTTCAATGCAAGGGAATGAGAACAAGAGTTGGGATAGAATAAAAAGGCATAGATGATTGAGAAATATAGTGATAGGATGTAATGATCACAGACTCGTGCATTTCAACAAACACTTGATAGAGGGGTACACCTATACTTTCTCGTAAGCTTACTGTTGGTTTTGTGCTATAAATTAGTAAGTTAAGGTTATATGTTTCAATTCATTCATTTTGATGTTTCATTTTAAAAGTGGTTGTAGAATGCAGTAGACAGGTCGCTCAATTGCATGAAATAATTTTCAATCCGAGCAGACAGCATGCTCTCAGAATAATTAGCGGAAATTTTATTGTGATTTCAAACAATCCATCTGAGTTCCAATAAATCGGAACATTTGTTCCGGTAATTTTTTTTTTGGTGGTTTATTTTCATAGACGTTCCAGTTTTTCCACAGTATGTTTTATATCGATTTTGGTTACGTTCTACATTGTATTAATTGTTTATGCTTTGCGACAGACAGTCGCCGACAGTAGCTCGAACAGTAACAGCCGGTAATATTTTTGGCGCGTGAAAAGTGTTTTGATGAAAGAATAAATTGAAAGTGTTCCCATGATTGGGTGTGCGGCTTGTGAAAAACAGCAGCATTAACGGAATTAAATCAATATCGAACGGAAAATACGTTAATATAATAAGGCCATATTCACAGAGTCAACCTTAATGTAAAGTTAATAAGTCAATCAATTTGAAGAAAAAATCTCTTTTTAATGGGATTTGACTCGAATCAGTCCGCAACAATGTTGCTTATCTTGATGTAAAGAATTACGTGCAATCAAATAAACACATAGAAAAAAATCTATTTATTTTCAAGTTTTTCCAGTTATTGTCCACTAGTATGTCTACAGAGTGAAATCATATGCTAACGTTTCAAATATTTAACTACAAAGTTTCATTAGGTTTATGAACAAGTGAAGGTTTAATTCTCTTTGTGAATTCCAGTTTATTTTCATTTTTTCATATTTCTCGAATAAAATCAAGGCAAAGTGTAACTATATCCACTATATTGGACTTAAAATTAAATCGTTACATACAAAAAAGTGTACAATTTAAAGATGGACATAATGGAATATCCAAAGAATTTTAAAATGATATTGGTTGAAAAATATGAAGGCATGATTCAAGCCTCGGTAAGCCAGAAGAATCAATAAAGGACCAAATGAATGAACTCACCTATTCGGTATTACTTTTCCGTACACAACGTGTCAAGGGAAAGTATAGGAATCGGTCCCGAAAACTTTTTTCGCAAAATTAGCTTAGATCATCATAAAAACTCATGAAACGCGTAGAAAACCACTTTTTGAGACACTTTTCCGTTCGTGTGCCGTCGTCGTTGTCGTCGTCGTTGTCGTCGTCGGCGTTGGTGTGTGTTCACACGATAACTCAAAAAATAATTGAGATAATCAAAATCTGGAAATGCCAAAAGTTTTGTATTCGAAAAACTTAGTTTAAGTTCGAAGATGAGCCATTTTCGATTTGCCCTAAGAAAAACCTCAAAAAATTGACACTTTTGTATGGGAGGTACCTGTAAATCGACTCCGTTTGGCTTCAAACTTTCTGGGATTTCATTTTTTCGGAGAAAAATAAGATTCTGAAAGTTTGAAACCAATCGGAATCGATTTACGGGTACCTCCCATACGAATTTTTTGAAATTTTGACTAAAATTACCCATTTTTGGACAATTTTGTATGGGAGGTACCCGTTAATCGATTCTGATTGGCTTCAAACTTTCTGAGGTTTCATTATTTGGAGAAAAAATAAGATTCTAAAAGTTTCATGTTGATCGCATGTGCAGAAGTTTGGTGTTTGGCCCTCAATTTTTTCCAAGAAAATTTCGACAAAAATTGAGGACAAAAAATCAAACTTCTGCAAATGCGATCAACATGAAACTTTCAGAATCTTATTTTTTCTCCAAAAAATGAAACATCAGAAAGTTTAAAGCCAATAGGAATCGGTTTACGGATACCTCTCATACAAAATTGTAGAAGTTTTAGTTAAAGTGACCGATTTTTCACTTTATTTTTATTATTATATTTTCGCTGCCTTTATTTCAAGAAAATTCACAAAAAATAATCAAAAGTACCTACAGACAACGCAGGCCAACGGTACGGAAAAGTTCGGGATTACCAATGTAATTCTTTTTATTCTTTACTAAATTTCCCTCCAATTTCAACATATAACTAGATTGTTATGGTTGGTTGCTGTAGGAGTATCACTATGGCTATGTGGATCAATGATCAACATCATTTGGAATCAATAACAAGAGAATCCAATGGCCTTGAGCTTTGCAGAGAAAATGATTTCTGTAGGAACTATACCATACCCATCGGTTTGTCGATTATAATCGAATAATCATTAATGATTGATATTGGGATGGATGGCGTGTCTTTGCATCACTTTTCATATATGGGTAGTTTGGAGCGAAAATGTAATACAGAAAAGTTGCGCGGAAAAATGTGAAATGAAAATAGATAGCTATAGTTTACTATACAGTTTACTATATAGCTATCCCTTTTCTGCTCATTCATCATCGACATTTTTCCGCTAAACTTTTCTGTATTACATTTTCGCTCCAAACTACTCATGATGTTCTTACTTTCCGGATTTCTTTTCTGAACCTTATCAGGTAACCATTTGTTCAGGAATCAAGAGCATAAAAGATAAATTTGATGTCACGAAAGCACTGAACTCTTTATCAAATTTATCTGAAACTGAGTAAGTAATTGTCGTAATTCAAATTTCTTTGATTAGATAAAACGGACAACAACAACTGAATGACTTGAGTCACATTTGTTCAAATTTACCAAACATTATTGAATTTACGGTTAAGTTTACAAATGAATCAATTTACAAAACGATAACTTTGTTTGTTTTCATGTTCAAACTGAACAATTGGCGCTCGCGTTAGGTAGGGCAATAAATGCTTTTGTACTAACCGTATGTTGTCAAATTTAATCAATAGGAGAGTACGAATGGCCACATTAACACACATATGCCCATATTTTAATGCGAAATTCATAAGTGGAAAATTCAACGATGTTAGTATTTTCTATTTCAAAACAGTAAACCCGCGTAAAATGAATTTCTTTAAATTGTAATATTTTCTGTGTTGTTTACTAGTCCATGCTGAATATAACTGAATCAGTGTACAATTTAATGCAGGACATTGCTCCCCAAATGGATGACGTCTTTTTGAAATGTTGGCAGCAAAGTGTTAAATTTGCTATGCCAAGTATAAACATAAGTTGGATTCAGTTACATCGAACTGTTATCAGATTTATAAATTAACTTTCATTGCTTTTCTCATTCCATCGGAGATGAAAATTCCACAATATGTATGGGAAAAGAGATTGGACAATTTATGATATTGAGATGGTTTATAAGGGTCGCAGTTGCGAAGTCGTTGAACAAAGAATGCAATTGTCTACCAGCATGCAATTCTACTGAATACAATGCAAATATTGAACGGGTTAAATTCGATTCGGTTGCTATAAATAAAATAAGTGGCATCCAACCTGGGTATGAATGGATGTTTTGAATTTTTTTTTTTTTGATTCTGAATTTTTCATTTTATTTTTCGGCATTTTCCTTCTCCATCAAGCATTCAACCAACAAGATTGACTATTTCTTTTGGTGGAACTACAGTGGAGACGGTGAACCGCGTTGAGAAGTACACATTGACCGATTTTTTGGCCATTTGTGGTGGTTTATTTGGATTGTTTATGGGGGTGTCAGCATTGAGTATCATCGAACTCATTTACTACATCACTCTTCGATGGTTTTGGATTGTTCGCCGTGCACGATCCGAAAGTGCTGTTACGCCATTGGAATAGAGACCAAATAATAGTGTCCGATAACATTTAAATAAATTCAGCACCGGTTTTTGTATCACAATTTTTCTTCTTACCCATGGTTAGGCATGGAGATCGAGAAGCTTATGTGTTATACGTGACCATATCAATCAAACAAGATGAATAAAATGACCGAGTTGAAGATTTCGCACTGAAAAAAAAACCCGAATGAACGACTGAACGTGTCTCCAAAACAATTCAATATTGATACACACGAACAGCAACAATTGCTAGAAGAAAGAAGTCTATGAGATTTTAATGTGAAAATTTTGAATTCTTGTGCTGTGTGATGCAATAGAAATAAAACTCGATTTCATTTTTACAATTGTTGAACACATTAATCTTATGTCGCATATGCTATGTAAAATATCCTTTTTCTCCGTTCAATATCGTTCTTTTTTTTATTTCTTCTTGATTTACAATGTCCAATGCGATCGCTTTATTATTTAATATGACTGATATTGCTTTTTATGAATGAAATCAGCCAAAATATTGATTCTACTTCTTATAATTAAATACTTTTACTCACGACATGGGCGTGCGAAAAAGTAACAACCACACATGGCGATAAATTGAATTAACGAACTTTAACCGGTTAAAAATAAAAATAACAACCAATTAATGCCTGTTATCACTTATTTTATTAGGGCCAATTATTAATTGTTCGATTTAATTGTTTTCGTAATTCAATTGCTAGCCTACAAGGTCACTCTTTCTGTATCATTTTTGGATATAAAATTTGACACGCGATTCAATTTGTATGAATTTGTGCGAGTCAGTACTGACTTGCGATGACAAATAGGCCTCAATGACAAATCGTAGACTTTCAATTGTATGTAAACACTTTGGATGTCAAAATATTGGAGAACCACGTGTTATGACTATATTGATTAAATCTATATCTATTGTTTACATTTCACGAAGATATCAGCAAATCAGCATAGATAATTGGAACAAATAATAAACTGTCCAATCAACGGTTATCTCCAGGGCCGAAGAAAATATTTACGCTCAACAGCCAAAATATTTATTTAAATATCTCTGAAAAAGGTCCAAAATATTTGCGATAAATTGAAAAAAACGTCCAAATATTTAAAATAAATAAAAAATATTTACGATGAAAATCGGTTTATTTGAACTAGTTTTGCATTAATCCAGTTGATTACAAACGATAGCGACATATTTTTTTAAGTTTTCAAATATCAATGATCTACGGTTGTCGCTCAGAACGTTATTGTACCGTGAAAAAGTGCGCTCGACGTCACAAGATGTAATCGGGGCGAATTTGAAAGCAGACAATTCCTCCGGTGATAGCGCTTCAACCAATTTGTCTTTTTTGGTGCTTTTGCCTGTGCTCAAAATGATTGAAATTTCCTTCATTTTCTGGAAACCCTTGTTGCGAGCTACAACTCGATCAAATTTCTCGAGAAATCCAGATCTTCCGCGGATTTGTTGAAGGTTTTTGCGCACCGATTCAAATGTTTCAAGAGAATCAACAAGCGGTGCATGCTTTGCTTGCAATTTCGTGATGTTTGTGACAATACAAGAGAAGTTGTTCTTGATAAAAGTCAATTCTTTTTTCAAACTGGGCTTTGCGATCACGGTTTGAGCCTTTGCTATCGATTTTGCATCTTCTGAATCCAAAGCATCCAAAAAAGTTTTGATTTCGTTGAAATGGTCCGCATAGTAAACGGCTGCTTCAATCCAAGTCCCCCAGCGAGTCACAACAGGCTGCGGTGGAAAAGGTAAATCGGGAAACATTGCCTTGAATTTGTGTTTACGTGATGCAGCCTGCACAAACGAACAATTGTTTTTTTAACGTTTCACAATTTGCAATAAAACCGATTCATTTTACCTTTGTAAGCATTTTCTTCACGTTTGAGATCAGTTTGTTCACATCCTTGTGTTCATCGCGTACGTATTCCGCCACTCGATGTAATCCATGAGCAGCACAAGTAAAATGAATCATTTTTGGGTATAGAATAATCAATACATCCATTGCACATATCATGTACGCTGCCGCATCAGTCAAACATAGGAGAACTTTGCACTTTTGAACGCCTATGAATTGAATGGAAATATTCAAAATGCTTATACAATGCACATCGATATTTTCAATTTCGTTTACCCAGTTCATTTATGCACTCGTCGAAAAATGCGGCAATTGCGCTGTTATTGACTGCATCCAACACCTTCGACGCAAACAAATAGCTTCGACCGAATTCCTTCACAACGCCCAATACACCAAAGACAAAATTGACAACGTATCGTTGTTCGCAATCGGTCGATTCATCAAGAGACACCCAAATAAATTGATCTGCTGCAATTTGCTTTAATTTTGTCAGTGTTTCATCAAACAATTGGGGCAGGTACTTGTTGCGCAGTGTAAAAACTGATGGCAAGGCATACTTTGTGTGTTTTTCAAAGAGCTCTTTGACCGCTGGATGTGTAATTTTATGAAATGGAATATTTGCTTGGGCAAATGCTTTGGCCAGATCTTTGTGAAATTCAATTGCATCACGGTCGTTATCAGCTGTGTCATTCTTCACTGTTGTGAGCAGAGTTTGAGTTTTATTGTCACCAGTTTTATTTTTTCGAGCAATGCTTGATGCGTGTTTTCCTGTCTTGCGGTGCTGTTCGACTTGACATTTTTGAGTTGCAGTTACTGGAACATCACACATTTTGCAAAATAGAACCGAATCGTCCGCGCGAAATTCATTTGGATATGTTTTCTCCATTCGTTTGAAAAACGCCTTGCCACTTTCCTTGTCTTTGCCCATTTTAAGTTTCTTATGACATTGCACAACCAACTCACATTATGACTCGCGTCAGACTGAGTATCGAATTTCAAAGTGTCAAACTGCATGTCTTCACAGCCAAACTAATTACCGTTATTTATGTTTGTTTACAATAACAAACGCCGCTCGAATCGATCGATTAGTTGCGTTCTGCATCAACTCATCCACTGTAAACAGACGAGCACATTGTATACAGTTCGCCGTATTGTTTTCAACGACACTTGCAAAATGCTGTATACAGCACAATACCGTGCAACTGTTTTTGATTTTGTTGCCGAATTGGCTTACGAAATTCCACGAAAACAATCATATAAATATTTTAAAAGAGAAGTCAACGCCAAATTCGTTTTACATAGACCTCTTATTGAACTAACTTCAGCGGTTGGTGACAAGTATAATGTATAAAATGTCAGCGCTGACTTGGTTTATTCTTTAAATTGTGAAACAGAAGAATAAAACTAATGCTGTATTTCGAAAACGGTGAAAATATTTGAATTTTGTGTTTGAAATATTGGTTATATGAATGCATTTTAAGGCGAAAGTGCCAAAATATTTATTTAAATATTTTTTTCCCCGAAATCGCCAAAATATTTATTTAAATATATTCTATTTAAATAAATGTTTTCTTCGGCCCTGGTTATCTCAATGATTTCAAAAATAATGTCTACAAACTAAATACTAAACATATGGCAATAAACCGCTGATTGTTCCACTTCAACGTACATATCAGTAGTTTGGAGCGAAAATGTAATACAGAAAAGTTGAGCGGAAAAATGTCGATGATGAATGAGCGGAAAAAAGATAGCTATATAGTAAACTGTATAGTAAACTATAGTGAACTTACATATAGCTATCTCTTTTCATTTGAAATTTTTCCGCGCAATTTTTCTGTATAACATTTTCGCTCCAAACTACTCATATATATTTATTTGATGGGATAATAATTTATTTTGTTGGTGGTGTCCACATTATAGAACTTTTTTCAGCTGTTTGTAATATAATACAAAACAGCATAGTCATGCTGGCAATTACACTTCTTTCGAGCGGATTTAAAATCCAAACAAAACAAACTAAAAACAAAACATATTGATACTATTATTGGAAAAATTTTATTTTATTCTCGCCAATAGTAAATTCATTCAGTGTTTACTTAATTCAATAAAGTGCGTTTACGTCGATATGAACTTATGTAATAGCTTTTAGTTCGTTGTAGTTACACTAATAGTAATAGTTGTTAATTTTTTGGAAATGCCGCAACAATTCCCATCATGTCTGTCAAATTTCTAAAGAAAACTCTCATTGCTGCTGCCTACTGATGTATAAAAAAAATGACACGAGGTTATATATTTTTCTCTCGTTCGACGTCATCCTTTTTTCTAATTCTTCTTGATTTTAATGTCAAAAATACTACGATTATTGTCCGAAAAGTGTAATTCAATTTCTTCCAACGTTCGATTCTCGGTTTCCGGTAGGATGAACAACATTGAAATGAATCTAAAATTGTTAGAAAAGAAAACCGAATGTGATTTGTTATGAAAATAAAATAAAAATAGAGTTCATAGCAAGTAGATTGAAATGTGTCTTAAAACCAACCCAATAACAGCGACAACACCATAGAAACAAATAGCTCCTGGTAGCGAAAGCCAGCTTTCGAGGTCATAGTATGTTTTGGTTGCAACAAATGCAAAGATTTGGTTTTCAACTCCAGCCAAAGCACAACAGAACGTTCTTGATTTGAACGGAAAGACCTCACTCATGATGATATATGGAACAAATGACACAGCAATTGAAATACAAAATTGCATCATCACAAACAAGACCAATGCGAAATAGTTGTAGTTCCCGACAGTTTCTCGAATCGAATTGAGGCTATCTGATGTGATGCCATTTGAGGACCAGCCAGAGGGAAAGAATATCCAACCGTAAATACCTGAAATGAAATTAACCATTTATTTATTGAAGGAAAGAAGGAAATTTTTTTCCATGAATTTATTTCACTTGCGATGTGAATTTGACAGCTGACATTGAGCGCAATAATCTTAGGCTAATGGCAATACATTCATGTAAACTCTCCGTTCTGTCAAACGTCAAACGGATGTGTAACATACAAACATAGCAAATTCGCTATCGATTATGCCGGGGGCACCACCGTCACCCAGAGCAAATACATAGAGTAATATAGACCACAAGCCCGACGTGACTTGTTCACAGAAAAACAAATTTTCCACAAAAATTATTCAAACTACTCACTCAGTCCGAAACAGCTAACAAAATTTCCAACCATTGTCCACAGGTAGATTCTTCGTTTGCCGAGAATTCGAATTATGAATACGTTAACCACATTTGCTAAAACTCCAATAAAGCCAAGGATGACCGTTGTAAAGTTTGCATCGAGCGCAATGCCATGTGCGCCTAAAATCGGTACAATGTACGATCGCATTGCAAACATTCCAGAGAACTGCATCATAACAAATAAAATTGTAACCAAAAGGAATGGTTTCATTGCTCGTTTTTGGGAAATATCTACGAATTTCTCAAACAGCGTTGGCGGTGGATGATCACATTTACGGCCAGATTGTACACAATCGACACATGCTGACGACATCTCGTTGATAAGTTTCAGTTGATCCAGCTCCGACGAAATGCTCTTACTCGATACCCATCCACGGAGTACTTGTAGTGATTTTTGTGCTGATTCCAAACGATTCTTTGATACAAGCCAAATTGGAGACTCGGGGACCTTGAAATGTAAAGAACGCAAGAAAAACAAATAACGTAAGAATGTGAAAAAAAAATTTTGCGATATAAATAAACCTTGGAAACCTAAAGGTTTAAAAAGCCTGAAGATGTTGAATTTTCTTTTCGGCAATATGTTATTTCATCGATACTTACAAGTAGTGCCACCAAAATGTTGGCAATCGGCACAGCAGCACAGATGTAACACACTTGACGCCATGAAAGGAGCGACCCGAGTAAGAAAATCATGAACATTCCGCCTGTGGCGCAAATACCACCAAATGCAGACAGTACTCCTCTGACTGATGATTCACTACATAAAATTGAAATCATAATAATAATTATTACTTGTACGGTCGTAGCCATAAATGAATTCATTATTGTAAGCGATCAATGATCTTCTGGAAGAGTACCCGTGTGCAAATATTGTAACTGAGCATTCAGTTAACTGATTTCGGACAAAAATGACTTTCTTCGATTGACATTTCAGTAAAAAGTGAAGTGTAAGTCTATCATAGTTAGCTGAAATCATTTGAAATTACAAGTCAATCTTAGTTGCTCAGTCAGTCAGTCATTTTTTTTTCACACGGGATATCTTTTTGGTTGAAACAAATCAAACTAGGGGCTTCACGCACTCAAAAAATGATTCAAAAACAACAAGTATTTATTCTATTGACGTATAATCCGGTAAAATCCATTCTTGCACGCTGAAACTCACATGAATTCACGAAAACTCTCACATTTGAATTGAATGAATATTGAGGAGTTTGGTGAATTTTGGTGAATTTTGGTGAATTTTGGTGAATTTTGGTGAATTTATGTGAGTAGAAAAAATTACAAGAATTTGTATTACCGACCCTTTTCATTGCTAAACACTAGGTTCGACACTTAGTTTGACAGCTAAGTTGGCAAGACTGTGAAATCTAATTTATCGACAAATTCACTAGAATTCACCAAAATTTATTTGTATCGTTTCAAATTCATAACAATCGTTAAAACTTATTACTATTTATTTATCACTACACAAATTCAATGGTTGAAAATTTTGCGTGAAGCCCCTAGAAATCAAATGTGTTATACAAATTTCATTATAATAGGTATACCTAATACCAATCGTATTATCACTAAAACATACCAAATTTCACTAACGTATAATAAAAGCATAGAGGTTGCCGAACCATTCCAAATGCCAAGCAATGAAAATCCAATATAAAGCAAGATCTTTGATTGTGCATTCGCTAGCATGAACCATGTGATGACAGGTATGATATTTGTGGCCAGCATCGCACCTTTCCGTCCCAGAATTTCGATTGTAAAGCTCGAAAACAAATTTCCAATTGGCTGAACGATGAATAAAATACTAGCTGCAATTGGGCAATTTTGGAATATTCATTTTGCGTAACAACTTTTTCAAGATTTATATTTCTGGAAAACGCAATAGCATCCAGTTTTCTCAGCAATTCAATTCAACATATGTATACGTACAATGTACGTCGTACATACCTAGCCATGAAGCTTCGTCGGACGTCATGTGCAGAGTTTCGTCTGGATTTAAACTACTGCTTGTGCCAGTCACCGAAGGGACCACAATCGTTGCCAAAGCCAGTATCAAACCAATGTTCCAGGCACCCAAATACATGGCGAAACTGGCTAAAAATTGCGGTAAGACTCGACGAAACGTACAGACTTTGTGTGGTCCATTTTCGAAATCAAATCCAAAACCACACATAAAGATATCCAGTAGTTGATTTCTCATCGTTTTAAGGAGTTTCTGTGGGAGAAATTGTTATTGAAGTAAAGACTATCGTGTAATATTGTATCACAGCCGGCGACAGCAGGCGCGAGTGACGAAATCACCCTAGTGCTGAAAGTCAAACTCGCCTATATATACACGCAATTTCGAACTTTTTTCCTAAGAGAGCATCTGGTATGAATGAGGTACGGCCAGAAAGCCCTCAGATCATAGGACCAGAAAATGCATTCAAACTTGCAAATCGACCAACCACCTCCACAGATATGGCCACTTGAAAATTTAGAGCAAAAAAAATCATTTCGGAGCGATGTAGTTAAACGATAGCAAAATTGGCAAATTGAAATCGCTCCAAAATGATTTTTTTAAATTGATATCAGGAGTTTTGTGTTCGCTTTCGGCACGAGAATTGACTTTAGTAAAGTTTTTTTCACTTATTTTTTTTCTCCAATTGCCACTATTCCTGTATAAAATGGGAGTTGCTAGCGTTTTGCAAATAATATTATTACATTTCAGAACCAGTTTTTTGGGATCTTCTTCTTCTTCTTATTGTGAAATTAATTTTCATTCTATTGAACGCAATGTCTAATTTTTTTTTTACGTGAAATAACTCAAAACTGATCGAATAGTAATTTCACGTTAAACAAAATTAGAAGAAGAAGTGGATGACCCCGATTAAATGTTGAAATTTACCAAATGCAAATTAATTAAAATGAACACTTTAACTTCAAACCGATTTAAAAAAAAAGCACATTGCAAAAAAAGCACCACTTTTAATGATATTAATACCCCGAAAAGCACGACAACCATTACCTTAATTTCAATCCAAAAAATGTCTATGGTTTCCTTCTGGATTCAAAGTATTTATTTCATACCACAATTAAAATTCAAATTTGAACGAAAGAAAGATTTTGATGCTACAAAATGTTCAACGTCTTATCCGAGCCTCAAAACAGGAATGACGCCCAATTTGGGATATTCCCATATAACAATAGGCTATTTATAATCCAATTTTCACGTAAACACTTAAACACTATGATTGTCGCTCGTAATTTAATTATTGATTAAATCAATAGGTATCTATTGTTTACTTTAAACACATTTCAATAGTATCAGATAATCATCATTGATAATAGAAACACACACCCTAAGCACATTGGACACACGTTTTACGCGTTATGTTACATGTTCGAGTAGCCTTTGCTTTCACAATGCCGCACAAAAGTGATGCATGTGGCCAATATGCTTGGGACTAGAGTATGTGTGAGAATGCTGAGAATAGGAAAATGTTTAAATTCATTTTTCGGTTCTTGTGAACCAATTGAAAATCGAATGTGCCGTTAATCTAATTCCGAAAAGCGAATCATTATTTACAGCGTTTGTCCGAGTACTCACTTCACTACGGTGGAAGCTATGTATATACGTGCGATCTTGAATTTTTAGTGTATAGTGACGGCGGCATACAAAGCTTTTATGACGCCGGAAGCAAAGGTTTATAATGCGTAAGAAGGAAAAATTGATGAGAAGAGTTGCGGCTTTGAGTTTATTTTTGCGCATCTTTCCAAATGTCGTGAACAAAATTCCAAGGTGTAGATAAGTTAAGCGGCAGTTACAGGGATGATTGATTCTCGGTGATTTCCGTCACATTGGTAGAGCTTGTTAATTGTTGACATGGTACTTCAGTTCCAAAATGCTGTTGACGAACATACAACAGAATTTCAGTTTCTCCAATGATTTTGAGTACTTAGAAAATTTTAATCGGATAGCAAACGTCTCTATCCTTCGTTTCATTTGGCAGACCAAATTTTTCGTTTATCAACGAATCAAAATCAAATTCCAATTAAGTGTTTCATTGTACCGAAAGAGTGTGATAACGCCGCGTCATTGTTATACAAACAAAAATCGACAATTGACATGATTCACCAATTGAAACAAACAAACATTTGAAAAATATCACTGAAAAAGTATGAAGGTATAATCGAAATTTTATGTTTAAAAAATATCGTAGCGATGAAAATGTAATGAACAAGCTATTCATTTTATTTTCATTGTAACAATGTTGCTCTTTCTTCCGTTTTTTGCCTTGCGAATCAAGAATTTTCAAAGAAGACAAAATTTGCACTGTCGCTTTCGGCAAAAAAAAAATCATATATGCATGCACACCATTACATCTACATCCCTTTGTCCATGTTATGTCGTTGCGAATGTGTGCAAAAATATTACATTGAGAACGATTAAAAAGAAAGCGATAGAAAAAGGAATGCGTAGGTTAAACGGATCAATCAAATCACTTGACGGTCAACACGTGCGATACAATATGAGCGCACGTTGATGCTGCTTATGTTTCTTTATACAGGCAACGACTGAGTGAGTGTGAGTGTATGAGTATCAACACGGAATAATTAACTTAGTAACACAGATGGTGCCAAAATACATCCTAGAGCATGATTTCAAACGAAATTTCGATTTTGTGTTTTCAAATGCTAGAGCATCGTAAAACCACCACCAAACATCAGTTTTCGAAGACGCATCAGTCTATGTCAATGTGTTGGTGTGTTGTTTACAATGAAAAGTGACAATGCCAACAATTTATAGAACATTGACCAGTGTTCTTTACTCCGTGGCCACTAACTTTTTTCATGTGGTCATCTTTGGTGCATTGCCCTTGCTGCACCAGCAAATATTCGCGCGCTGAATTATTATTCATCTCTGTTTCCTTATTGTTTCGACTCATATTTAGAATTACACAAATTAATATATAACAATACTCTTAGCTCAATACAACTACCTAAAAATGTTCGTATTAAAAATTACTGCATATTACGAAACATTTATGTGACATTTGCATATGATTGATTTGCTGAGAAGATACGACTACAATAAGTTCACTGGCAATATTGTTCGATGTTAATTGTTATTCATTCTTAGAATGAGCCGAGTGAATATGACGACAAAGAAAAAGAACGAAAGAAGGAACAAACTGGCGATGACGTTATCATCGATAAAATAACACACGTTGTGAAATAGTTTGTCGTAAAAGATTGCGGTTCGTGAAGTTTGAGCTTAGTAGTGAGCAGTGCACTGTTTCGAACACATCTTTGTTATGAGCTAAGTTTACTTTTAAGTTTGAAAAATGGATATATTTCCGTACTGTCCACCGGAGGTTAAGTTCTCCGATATACGGTCAAATTGTTTTCTTGACACCCTGGCCGTTTCCATATTAACTGGATTTATTGTGATTTTTGGATTCCTTCAATTGATCAAATACTGGAGATATGCCAAACCGGTTTCGGACACATCCTCATCGATGCTATATTATTTTCAAATTATTCTGCTCACAATAATTCCATCGCTATCAATTGTGGATGTGACTCATCTTTATGGATATACGGTACGATAATTATTGTGTAATATTAATTGAATGTGTGACGCAACAGAGCAATTAAGAGTAAAAAAATTTTTTTGAAGTGAATAATCTGCTAATATAAAGGTGTATAGTGAGCGCTTAAGAGCGAATTTCGATTTTATTTGAAATAATTTTTATATGGAGGTGTTTCACTTCAAAACAATGTCAATTCCAAACTGTACTTTGGCGCTTATTCATTAAAACTTTAGCTCAAATGAATGCCGCACGGAGTTGCACACAGACTCATTGTTGAGTAGAATGCATGAAGCATACACGTGAGTGGAACAATGAATACACTACTATTTCACTCAAACGTACGCTTTGTACGTATCTCTCTATGCTCATTCAAACAGCTCATCAGATTGACCATTCAAGGTTGTCGCTGCACCGTAGCTGCTGTATGCGATTTGTTTAAGCTAACTAACAGATTTGTGCCATTCCATTTGCACGTGCAATTCATATATTCTACTCTCAGCGTGATTTATTCGTATATTCTACATGTAAGAGTGTCTGCAGGAGTTTGTGCAATGTTCATTTGATAAATTTGTAAGAAATTGTTAGAATGGGCCGTTTTACCTGGTGACTCGTATCAGGCGGTATTCCCTTAATAAGATTTGAATCTAAAAATTTCAACTCGTATTTCAGTTTCTCGTATCATCGTTAACTTGTCTATCATTCCTTATGTCGATATGGCTGGTTTTAACGGAACGATCCTATCTGTTACCATTGGCTCCGGAACGAAGACATAGTACAGTTTTGCTGATATTTTGGTCGTTGTTTTTTATTAATGAGAATATTTCAATCATAAAATTGAAAAATGGGCCTGTGTTTGTGATTCGATATGTATGCAGTTTATTGGTTGTGATTTTGGGACTTTTAGCCCCTGGCATCGAATCGAATCGTAAAGAAAGTTGCGTTCGCCTTGAAGATGACAAAACCAAGGTATTAATTAATCTTTTACGAATTTTAAATTAGATATTTTGTTTACAGAATATATTATTTAATTAATATTTTGTAATTACTACTTTCTAATGATCTTTCCTACTAGGCAAAATCCACCTGGACTGAACAATGGAACAAGTTCAAATTTCTTGTACAGCATTTTTGGCCACGAACAAATACTGCAATTCAGCTTACCATCGTATGCATCATTTTTCTGTTGATTATTGAACGTTTCATCGTTGCATTGATTCCAGTCTATGATCAGAAGATAGGTGAGAATCCATTGAGTGCAAATTAAATTGAAAAATTACATAAAAAATTGAATCATTACTTTCAGTTGATGGTCTTGGAGAAAAAATCTATTGCTGGGACATGATTCTAGTTTTAGTTGGATTCAAGTTTTTGCAAAGAGGATTCCTCAATCATTTGCATTCGTATCTGTGGAGATACGTGGACCATTTCATGAGTCGCCAAACAGAAAGTAAAATATTCACACATATCCAGAATCTATCGTTGCGATGGCATTTGGCTCGAAAAACTGGGGATGCTATCACTGCCCTAGATCGTAGTGGTGATACCATTACTGGTCTAATGGAATACACAATACTCTGGATTGGTCCCAGAATAATCGATATTATCAGTTCAATAGCATTTATATCAGTCACATTTGGCTGCTATTTTGGTCTTATTCTCATAGTACCAATGTCTCTGTATCTATGTAAGTACGCGTTTTGTATTCGATACTTTCATTCATATCACTGAAAATCCATTCCATTCCAAAATTTGTTGGTAATCCCATGAATTATTTATTCCACAGGGCTAACAGTTGTATTGACGGAATGGATTAATCAGTATAAAAAAAGCATGAACTCAGCGAATAGTGAACAACGTTCGCGCTGTATTGATTCACTTTTAAATTTTGAAACTGTTAAATATTGTGGAACGGAAAAATATGAAGCACAATGTTTTTGCGAAGCGATCACAAAATGTCAAAACGAAGAAAGAAAATTTTCTATACCTTACGTACTACTGGATATTATTCAAGAGATCATAATTCATGGTAGTTTACTAGGTGGATCACTTTTTTGGGCGTATTTAGTAGTCGATGTTGGATCAATTACGACGGGCCAATACATCTTTTTCGTATCACACATTTATCATTTGTACTATCCTTTCAATGATCTTGTATTTTTGTATAAGTAAGTGGATGCAGTCATCAGTAATTGCGACCAATCAAAAAAACAAATAATTATTTGTGATATCTCAATTTCAGATATATGCAAGCAAAACTGGTAGATGCAGAGACACTATTTGATTTACTGGAAGAAAAGCAAGAGGTGGTTGATGCACCAGATGCTGTAGAATTGCCTTCCGTTCGTGGCAAAATTGAGTTCAAAAATGTTACCTTTGGTTATATGCCCGAGGAAATTGTGTTGAAGAACGTTTCGTTTTCAGTCCCGGTCGGTAAGACTGTTGCGATCGTTGGACCATCGGGAGCGGGAAAGAGTACAATCATTCGTCTTTTGTTTCGGTTCTACGATGTTCTTGGAGGGTCTATTTGTATTGATGGCCATGATATAAAAGGTGTGAAACAAGACTCGTTGCGGCAGGCAATTGGCGTTGTTCCCCAAGACACCATTTTATTCAACAGTACCATCAAGCATAACATAAAATACAGTCGCTTGAATGCATCTGATGATGAAGTGATTGAGGCTGCTCGTGCTGCCGAAATTCATGAGAAAATCATGAAATTCTCCGAAAAATACGAAACCGAAGTTGGAGAAAGGGGACTACGATTGAGTAGTGGTGAAAAGCAGAGAGTCGCTATAGGTAATACGAAATTTGTATGAAAATTTTGTTGGATTTGGAATCAGAATTGAGCTATAGTTAATAACGATCCACCCTAATAGTTATAATAATTCCATTGAATTGTAATCAAATAATATTTCGTATTTTGCAGCTCGAACTATTTTAAAAGCGCCATCGATTATGCTATTGGATGAAGCAACTAGTGCATTGGATACACAAACTGAACGCAATATTCAAAGTGCTTTGGCAAAAGTGTGTGCGAATCGAACGACTGTAATTGTTGCACATCGACTTTCTACGGTCATTCATGCCGATGAAATTCTCGTAATGAAAGATGGTGAAATCATGGAACGTGGTCGACATAATGTGCTATTGGATAAAAAGGGTGAGTCTTTTTCCGAATTCAAAGTTACAACTTTTAAGTTTGGCCAAATTTTGAGCAGCGGTACTCATTAGCTCATTAATTATCGTTTTCAATTGACAGGAATCTATGCAGATATGTGGAATGTACAAAATGACGCAAATTCCACCAAAAATGACATTGGAATAAGTGACACCCATCAAAAGGCAGACTAAAAATGTTGAATCAATTATTTCTATTTATTTATTTTCTCTAATTTCAAACAGTATTATTGACGTCGAATTTTTTTTTATATTTAAAGCCGTAAATTTAAGAAAGAGCTAAGCTTATGTACATTCATCTATATACAAGAAAGCCATACTGGAAGTGAAAAAACATTCCCAATAATTTTCCTTATCAAATGTGCCATTTCCTCAAAATTTAAGTGAAAGCTTATTGATTTTCAACGTAGCAATCTTTGTGTTCACAGTGTTCAAGTCGGTGAAAAATTAGACAATATCTAATTGAAACAATAGTCGACAGAACCATCGGTTCATGAATCATCAATTAGACAATTTCGCTCAAAAGTAACTATGTGTTCACAGCAGAGCACTCTGCCACATTCTCGTCTCAATACCATTGATTTTACATATAAAATAACAAGAAGCAACGACAAAAGTAACCTCTCGTAGCGGCACAGTTGAAACTAACGAAACAAACACAAATGAACTTTTTCACAATTTTTTTTTATTTCTTGATCTTAATATCGAAAATGCTGCGTTTATTGTCCGAAAAGTGTAACTCGATTTCTTCCAATGTTCGATTCTCGGTTTCTGGTAGGATGAACAACATTGAAATGAATCTAGAATTGTTAGAAAAGAAAACCGAATGTGATTTGTTATGAAAATAAAATAAAAATAAAGTTCATAGCAAGTAGATTGAAATGTGTCTTAAAACCAACCCAACAACAGCAATAACACCATATAAACAAATAACTCCGGGCAGCGAGAGCCAGCTTTCGAAATTATAGTATGTTTTGATTGCGATGAATGCAAAGACTTGGTTTTCAATTCCAGCCAAACCACAACAGAATGTTCGTGACCTGTTTCAAAAAAAGTGAACAGAAAAAGTTTCATTTGGAGATAGAATATTTTTTTTGTCTAAATCTTCTGAATTCATCTAAAGAGATAACTTAAGACTACAGGGGGAGCTAGATAAAAAAAAAGATAAAAAAATTCAATTCTACTTACTTGAATGGGAAAATTTCGCTCATTAAAAAATACGGAATGGATGAAACGCCAACTGAAATGCAAAACTGCATAGTCACAAACATGGCCAAAGCGAAATAATTGTAGTGTCCGACGGAATGTCGGATCGATTCCAAACTTTCTGCTGTCACACCAATTGACGACCAACCAGCGGGAAAGAATATCCACCCGTAGATGCCTAAAATGAAAATCGAGACGTTTTTTTTTAGAAATTCAAAGAGTTTTTAAATGAATTTGAAAAATTTCTTGGGATTTATCGACGGGAAGATTTTTGAATATTTCAGGCTAAGATTGCCACATACTCACTTAGTCCGAAACAGCTAACGAAGTTTCCAACCATTGACCACAGGTAGATTCTTCGTTTACCAAGAATCCGAATTGTAAATATAAGGATAACATTTGCTAAAACACCAAGAACACCAAGTATGACCGTTGTGACATTCGCATCGAGCGCAATGCCATGTGCATTTAAAATTGGTACAATGTACGGTCTCATTGCAAACATTCCAGAGAACTGCATCATAACAAATAAAATTGTTACCAAAAGAAATGGTTTCATTGTTCGTTTTTGGAAAATGTCTTTGAATTTCTCGAACAGCGTTGGCGGTGGATGATCACATTTACTGCCCGATTGTACACAGTCGGCACATGCTGATGACATCTCGTTGATGTGTTTCAGTTGATCAAGCTCGGGAGAAATACTTTCACTTGATACCCATCCGCGGAGTACTTGTAGTGATTTTTGTGCTGATTCGAGGCGATTCTTTGATACAAGCCAAATAGGTGATTCTGGTATCTGAGACGAGAATGACGAGAATGATGAGAAAAACGCAAGAAAAAAAGTCAACATAAAAATGTGAAAATTTCCACTGATACTCACAAACATGGCCACCAATATATTTAGAATCGGCACAGCAGCACAGATGTAAGCCACTTGACGCCATGACAGAAATGATCCGAGCAAAAATATCAGGAACATACCACCTGTAACTGAAATGCCGCAAACGGCATTGAGAATTCCACGAAACGATGCTTCACTAGAAGGAAAGAAGCTCATTAAAAATCTATTGAAATATTTTGAAATTTGTGGCTTTTTTTTCAAAGTACGATAGTACTTTTGGCGATGGTATAAAACGTACTCTCCTGCACTATAGACTTTGCTACGCGATAAAAACAACTTTTTGTCATAGGTTTCTGGATAGTCAATATCGAATTTGTAATGGATGCTGCTTTTTTCGGATATTATTCGACAAGATTGGAGATCAGTCTTACCTAATTTCGCCCAAATATATAGATACAGAACATGTTAGCCCGTTCCAGATTCCCAGCAAACAGAATGCAATATAAACCATGTACGTAGTTTTAGCGGTTGGTAGTAAAATCCATGCAATGGCTGGTATTACATTTATGATGAGTATGGCGCCTTTTCTCCCCAAAGATTCTACTATGAAGCCAGACAGCACATTTCCAATGGGCTGAACGATGAATAAAATACTGGCTGAAATGTAAAAATGGTTTAAAACATCAGATTTTGATTGAATTTTAAAAACAAAATGAAAACATACCTAGCCACGATGCGTCTTCGTGTGTCATGTGCAGCGTTTCATCTGGATTCAAATGTTTGCTTATGCCAACTACCGAAGGCACCACTATCGATGAAACCGCCAACACAAAACCCATATTTACGGCAATTAAATATGAAGCGGAACATGATAAAAACTGAAATACGTGGACAATAAGGTTAAGAGAGTGATATTTCATTTTAAAATTTACTGATTGATATCAATTTATACGAAACGTTGCATCTAGGGGAATATCACACTTGAATTATTTCAAATATTTCAAAAAAATCCAATTTATCTCTAAGAATCTGTCGTATGAAATATGGTGGATATTTGTGAATACGGCCGAATATTGTGGATTTTTGTGATTATGAATGATATTTAAATGTATTTATTCGGATTTAATGGAAAAAATCTCAAATATCTCCAAAATCCACAAAAATCTGATTCATTTATTCGAAATATTCGAAAATATGTCATACAATTGATGTTTATTTCAAATATCTCAAATATCTCACAAGATTCACGAGCGTGATATTCCCTTAGCGTTGCATTTCATCTAATGGAGATAAATGTTTAAAATACAAAAAATAGGTATTACCTGCGGTAAAAGGCGCCGAAAAGTGTTGACTTTGTTTGGTCCATTATGGAAATTGAAAACAAAACCACAAGAGAAAATATCCAAGAATTTGGTTTTCATCTTCAAAAAATGTCGATGAAATATTGAAACAATTCAGACCGATAACAATGGTGGTAAAATGAAGAGTGAAGATCGGTCGATGGTAAATTAACGAGTGATCACTGTCCACAGAGGCGTTGAAACTTAAACTGACTTTACTAGGCACAAATCTCTTTATACATTCAACAGGAATGGCTTATCGTCGATTTAGAAGAAAATGGTCGAAGAAGACAGAAATGCATAAGAGCATTTAAATGGAAGATCTCATACCAAATCTTATACTAGGTATGTCACATGCATGAAGTTTGTAAACTAAATGTATGCACAATTTACTCTTTTCCCGTGTCCGCAGTTACAAAACATGTTAGTCTGCTATAAAAACAACGAATATCGATATTTCTGTTATTATATGAACTTGGGTCTGATTTGCTTATCTGGATAAATGTACCCCAGGTTAAATGTACGAATTATTTGAGAGCTACCAGCAAAGTTTGCAGTACAAACCTTCATCAATCACAATTCAAGAGCAAACTCAGACAAAATAGCTCTTATCGCTTGTTACCGACTACATCATTCCAGATTTATTGATCAGATGGGATGCAGTTGAGTCAAACTATTTTCATATTGATATATTTTAACTGCGATTATTGTAATTGTGGTGATGGACTAACTTATCGAATGATTTATGGATATCATCAGATCAAAAATGCAAAACGTGTTAAAGCTAGATTGGACACTTGGGTCACGTTCAAGGATTAAAAACACCAAAAAATGGTTTTCAGGTAAAATTCAAAGCAACTGACTATGGATCGTAGATTTAAAAAAATTAAATCCAGAGAATCAAATTGACTGAGTATCCCGCTGTGATATTTGTTGATAGCTGTTCATATGTTGAATGTTCAACGTTCATAATGAACAAACAGTGGCGAAGGTCGGTCTGCGATGTTCACTGGACTTCATTCATACTCAAACATATTTCAAGTACATACGCTTGATGTTCATCTTACTCCATCCTATTGTTTACATATCTCTTCATTCTTTCTCTTACATTTTGACGAGAAAAACAACAGTGAAAGTATTTGAAAATATATTAACAAAGTTAATTAGACAAACAAAGTTGGAAATATATTGAAATATCGAAAGTCTGCTATGAACATTGAACACACGTTGTAATTCACAGAATTAAAATACACCGAATAGCCAGATATTGACCAACATTCCAACTGAATGTAGAGCTAATTTCATTCTCTGAGCAAATTTCATGTGATTGTTAGATCAAATTATACAAAATATATGTGTTGAATTAATAGAACTTGAAAAAAAATATATTTTACGCATCAAACCGGTGTAGTTTGGGCAAAACAACGAATAATTTTGAAGATATTTTAGGAAAACCGTCGAAACTGACACAAAATATTGTTTTAAAAGATATCGATTCCTCGATTGGTGTTTGATTTGCGTTTATGTATCGAAGAAAATTCGACTTGAGCAGATTATTCATTTTTATTCCAAGTTTATTGAATAAGCTAATTTTCGTGACACAAAAACAACTCACTTTGATTCACTTCTTTCAATGCACGATTTAAAAATAGTTGAAATTCTATGGAACATTTGATTTCTTGAACAAAAACTGTATCACAAATGTTCATTACCATCAATTAGTCTTAAAAATATTATTGCACTACTATATTGAGCGATGTGAGTGATACGTTGAATTGAAACAAATATAATGGAACGGAAGTGATGCGAACCGTGTTACATGACATTCGAAACACGAATGAATCTCATTTACTCCATCATTTGACGCATACATTTGGTTGAATGTCAAAAATGTGCAAACGTGTTCCAAGAGTATATATTGTTGCTATTATTCATTGTTGTCAATGTCCATTCTTTATTTTGCATGCCAAATAACTAAACAACACACGTTACGAAAGCAACTTCCATTGAGTGATGTTAAACTTCAACAGTTGAAGATTGTCTAAAATTAGGCGTAAAAATAGTAGCGTGCTCATTTTATGCTTTAGACTGATTTATGGTAAGCTTTTAAATTAAAAAAAAACATTCAAATGAACTTGATCTAATCCACGAATTGATGTTTATTTTTGAACAATTGATAGATAATAACAAAAAATACATATTTTCTTCTTCATCATTCATGTTCTTTGGTTTTGCATTATCTCGGATGAATGATTTTTTTGTTTCGAAAAGATACGATTTGATGGCTGTCTTGAAGATAGTGTCTTCTCCCAAATTGTAAATTCCTTACTTTGAAAGTAAATTTAGTTTTTTAATATTTGTATCGAAAATACCGCGTTTATTGTCCGAAAAATGCAATTCTATGTCCTCCAACGAACAATGTTCTGTCTCAGGTAACATGAATGTCATCAAAATGAATCTGAAAATTGAGAAAAAAAAGAATCGAGAAATTTTGAGATAAATTAAATAATTAATTCAATTTGAAGATGGTAACGAATCTGGGTTGGCATATTTACGCAATTTTTAAGTCGCGCATGTAATTTACGTAAAAAACTGTAAATTACGTTTTTTACGTGTAAAAAACCTCTTGGATGTAAAAAACTGCTAAATTAACAAAACTAGGTATTTTTATATAATATATACTTGTAACATGTGAATTCATACGGGAGAGAATTTATTTGAAGCGGTGGAAAAGTCGATCGCTATAGCCAAAGAACGGTATGATGCCACAATTACTTCGGTTTTGACGGATAATGCATACAGTATGCAAAAGATGGGAAGAACTTCAGCACTTTTGTTCAATGCAAATTTTGTCCCATCAGTTAAAAAATTGCTTGGATTGCTCGATCCGGTGGCTGAACTCACAAACTACTGTCAAAGAAGCGATATCTCAGCTGCAGATGTCGTTGAAAAATGATTAAATTTAATTGTTGATTGTCCAGATTTTTGTAGTTTTTTGGACAATCGTTGCGAGGAAAGTAAAGTGTTAAACATTGTTACGATGACGGCAAATTATTTGCATCCAGTATATCGCAGTGAAAAATTGAATCAAGAACAGCAAAACGAATTGAAAAACTACATTCTTGAACAGCTCGTTTGCGATGAAATTTCTGAAAATCCCTGCATCAACAGCGCAACTAGAATGGCTTTCCTCCCATTGGGGCTATGTTCATAATGACATCAGAAACAGGCTCTCGGTTGATACATCAAAGAAACTGGTCAACATTTATTTTACGCTGCGATCGAATGATGATTGATAAATTATATGAAACGATTGGAATATTGTGAACGAGAAATGAAACCAAACCTGCGACAACGATACATACTACACAATTTTCATTCATTTTTGATTCATCAGTTATGTTAATCGTTTGCATTAGAAATGAAAATGTCCGAGAAAGTCTGAAATAAATTCTAACTTTTTTATATTATATTTAAAATCCAATTTGGTTTTTTACATTTTTTACACAATTCACGTAGAGAATTCCGAAATTTTCATGTAATTTACATCATGTAATTTACGTAAACGAAATGTAAATTACATGCTTGAGTTTTTTACATGCCAACCCTGTAACGAATGTTGTTCTCTTCGAACAAAGACACGAAAGTGAGAAGAAAATCTATAAAACCTAAACGCGAAAGTGCGTTGAATGTTTGGATGTTCGAATGAAATGTACGCATCGCCTAAAATGCGGTAAAGAAGACGAATAGCTGGGTATTTTGGGCCACTTACCATCTAGCATGTAAGTTACTAATAAACAAACACCCAATATCTACGAACCTGCATAGGGGCAGTAAAATTAGTTCTATTTGCTGTATATTCGACGACGCATATTCGCCGCATTAATTTTCGCCCCTTTTTTAGCATTAAAATCTGTGCATAAAAAAGGGGCGATACTTTATCCGTCGACTCTATATTCTGCTGGACATTCACATCCAAACAATTGACGCATTATCACGCTTGGAAAACCAACCCAAGAACAGCGATGACACCATAAAAGCCAATGACCCCGGGTAATGAAAGCCATCTTTCGAAGTCATAGTACGTTTTGGTTGCGATGAATGCAAATAGTTGACTTTCGACTAAGATCAAAGAGCAACAAAACGCTCGTGACCTGAAACCAATGACGAATAGTGAATTGAGTTGTTCTAGTTTTGAACTGTACTTCCCATTGAGATAATAATCAAAGTACTACTTGACTCACTTGAAAGGGAATACTTCACACATCATGATGAACGGTATGGATGAGACGCCCACCGAAATACAGAATTGCATGATCAAAAACATGACCAAAGCGAAGTAATTGTAGTGTCCGACGCTATATCGGATTGATTCCAAACTTTCTGCAGCCAGACCAATTGACGACCAACCAGCGGGAAAGAATATCCATCCATAGATGCCTGGAATGAAATTCGATGTTAATATGAGACTGGATATATGTGATATCTATACGGGAATTTGAATAAAATTGTGAATTAAAAGAAATTCTTCAAATTTTTCGAGGAAAATATTTCACCAAGCCGAAATCTCCCCATACTCACTTAGTCCAAAACAACTAACAAAGTTCCCAACCATTGACCACAGGTAGATTTGTCGTTTGCCGAGAATTCGAATGGTGAAAACAATGAAAACATTTGCCAAAATTTCGAGAACCCCAAGGATGATGGTTGTAAAATTCGCATCGAAAGCAATGCCATGGGCGTTTAATATTGGAACAATGTACGGTCTCATTGCAAACATCCCACTGAACTGCATCACAAAAAATAGAATTGTAACTAAGAGTAGAGGCTTCAATGTTCGTTTTCTCGTCGTATCTTTTAATTTGTTCAGCAGTGTGGGTGGCGGATGATCACATTTGCTCCCGGATTTCTCACAATCACTACATGTTGCCGATATTTCACTAATGCGTTTCAATTGGTCAAGCTCGGGTGAGACACTTTCACCGGCAACCCATCCTCGAAGTACTTGTAACGATTTCTGCGCTTTTCCTGAACGATTCTTGGAGAGTAACCAAATTGGTGATTCGGGCACCTTGAAATGATTGGAAAATGGACAAATTCGAATTATTGATGAGAGATTTTTCGAAAATGTATTATGTGGAAGTGAATGTTTTCTTCAGAAAATGAAACACACCATTGCTTCTTGACAAATAAGTTTTTTTTTCTTCCAAAAATCACTTACAAATATCGCCACCAAAACATTTAGAATTGGTACAACGGCGCATGCATAGGATACTTGACGCCAAGAAAGAAATGATCCGAGCAAGAATATCATGAATATGCCAGCCGCAGCTGCGATGCCAGAGAATGCATTTAATACCTTTTGTAGAAGAAAAAAGACAATATCTCGATGTGAAACAATTTCAACATTTTCGCAAAGTGAATATTACCCCACGAATTGACGGCTCACTTCGGAATTCCGCCAGTTTTATACATCGGATGATCCATATTGAAATTAAAAATAACTTTAAATTAATCTCTTTCACATTTATTTTCTTCGACGCACGATTTCGAAGATTGGAATAGAAATGAAAAGACAAAAACCAGAGAATAAAATACCAAAAATGCTCTTTACCTTATTTCACTCGGGTATATGTGGGCTGCACTAATGAGTCCATTCCAAATGCCGATCAGTGAAAATCCAACATAAACCATGTGTTGCGATTGTACGTTCGGCAGCAAAATCCATGCAATCGCTGGTATAATATTTATGGTCAGTATGGCGCCTTTTCTACCCAAAGATTCAGCTATAAAGCCGGAGAGAACATTTCCAATCGGCTGAACGATGTATAGAATACTCGCTGAAAGAAGACGGTAAGATTATTCATTGATTTTCCGAACACACTATTCCGTACATGAAAGTACTGTCTAACATTTGCCTTCAAACTGAAAAACCTAGCGAATGAATAATAATTATTTTATTTGAAAATTTTCTAAGAGAAAAGAAAATCCGTACCAAGCCATGAGGCTTCATCGGGTGTCATGTTCAGTGTTTCATCTGGATTTAGACTTTTACTCAACCCAATGACCGATGGAAGAACTATCGATGAGATCGCTATCACCATACCCATATTCCAGTTGATTAAAAAATGGGCTAGTCCGCATAAAAACTGCAATTGATTTTGAATTTTTTTTCAGTTTTTTGGTTATGTTTGCCCGTAGTTTATGGGTCAAAATGTCTTATGAGTCATAAGAATACCATCAATTGCAATATACATGTGAAAGAAAAAAAACAGATGGAAATTCCAACTGAAGAAGACATATTCACCTGCGGTAAAACTCGCCGAAATGTGCTAACCTTTCGTGGAGCATTCTCAAAATCAAAACAAAGTCCACACGAAAAGATTTCCGACAAATTGATCTTCATCCTTTGAAATCGTTGCTAAAGTGCAAAATTAAGTTCAACTGATTTTTTTACTACGGTGGATTTTGATATACTGATTCATAATTGCTTTATTTATGTATGAATGCCAGTTATATAGACATTGAATCTTTAACGAATCATTTTTAGGTTATTTTTCTAATTAACTAGTACTAACTAAAGTTATACAAAAATTCGTTTAAAAAAAATTCTTAAATTCTATGATTCTCTCACTAATGAGCTATATAATTAATGAAAGAATGCCAGAAACTTCTGAACGACAATCGTTATCATTTAACATTACACCAGAATTCTAGTTCAGAACAAAAGGAAATGTTATCATTTATTTTACTACACAAAGCAATCAGTTTAATTGCATTCCTGCTTTATGTGTTGCAGTAAAGATTTCAGTTCTCGAATGATAAATAAATTGCATCAGATATTAAATGCTAAGCAACTAAGCTCAATCCACAATTTATGAATTAAAATTTAAGTTCTGGGTCATGCTAATTGGACTGCGGCAGATTCTATTCGATTGAACTATTAAGATTGGCACTATTTCAATTACACTTTGTACTTTGTAGTATGAAATTTAGTTCATGCGTAGATGTTAACAATCAATTCTTTTTTAAAAAATTTTTTTTACAAGACTGTTTAGCAGTCAACAATTTTGGAGCAGTCTTTGGAGAAAAAAATTGATTCGACATGAAAAATAAACTGTTTAATATTTGTTTCTTTCGAATTTTTCTTTAAAGTTGTTTTCGTGTGAATTTGTAATTCAAATTGGTTCTTCATTATCCAATAAGAAGAGAATCGCTTCGGAGTTTGAAATTGAATTTTCAATACAAAAAATGACGGAATTCGATCTAGAATTGAACTGCTGAGAATAAAAGGCTGACGATTGCAGGTTTTTCGCAAAAGCGGGATAAAAATCAGTCGCACGCAAAAGAGACATTTCAAAAGGTTGCACGCAAACGGAACATTTTATTTTGTCGCATTTCGAATTTTCAAGCCGTGATTACAACAACAATATACTTCTTTCTTGCGTGCAACCTTTTGAAATGTCTCTTTTGCGTGCGACTGATTTTTATCCCGCTTTTGCGAAAAACCTACAATCGTCAGCCTTTTATTCTCAGCAGTTCAATTGAGTTTCTTTAAATTTTCACTATTAAACAGTTTATACTAAACACTTGAGCTGAAAATTCAATTTTTGACGAAAACCTTACTTGTTGTTATTTTAAGACAGTATAGTTTGATCCAATGAATTGATTGAAATAGTAATTCACTGATTTGAAAATTAAAATTCGGATATTGACTGTTCCAAACAAGGTTCGGCACAGGAATGATTCTTTGTCTTTGGATTGAGACACGTCGAACATATTGCTAATACATTTGCGTATTCATTTGTTATTCGCCGTTTGTTTTATGCACGATCTTTAGACGATTTATTGCAGTTCTGCTAATAAAATACATTAACAATTATTTCTATTGATACAATCACATTCAATTGATGCAAATATAGTATTTTGTATCGAACAGTGTTCGGGTTGATACTGAATAATATAGAACAGAGTCTGTTTTGATAGTATCAGTAAATCTGTTTGTGTTATTAATTCTTAATTCTTCTTTTTAACCTGATTTTGTTTATGTTAAATTCACTAATAAACAGCGTTCTCGTGGTGGTAGCCCAATTTTTTATCTGATTGACTTTAAATTTGGGTGTGTAACAGATTTAACGAAAAAAAATAAGACTCCCAAAGTTTTATGACCACTGAATTTTCGGAACATGATTATTGGTTTGCATTTAATTTTGGATTTTTTATCGATTTTTGACGTGCGCGAGCGATTGCTACAGCTGTTACTTATTTTTTTAGTGGTTGTACAACAATGAGACGGTTGGCTAAAATTCGACAAAATAATCCAACAAACTGACTTTTATTGTGTATCACATCGCGGCTCTTTATTGACTACAAAGGAGTCATGTTTAGTGAAATAAAAATTAAAAATTAATTGAATATTGTAAACTGTTTATCTCGCCTCACCGACACTCTTACATGTAAACGAAATAATGTTTTGTATTGATTTTATTTAGTCATTTAATCGCCTTGTTGATGATGAGACTTCACACGTCTTGAAATGCATTCGATAACGTTTTTGGAATTAAAAAGTAAATGATGATTTGAGTTAAAACCAAAGACTTTTAATTTTTATTTCACTAAACATGACTCCGTTGTAGTCAATAAAGAGCCGCAATGTGATACACAATAACAGCCGACTGCAAACGTTCAACCATTTCCTCAATAAAGAAGAAAAAACTACTCGAAACTGACTTTTTGTGATAAAATAAATGAAATTTCATCGATATTGTGCAATATAATCCATGGCATTATATTGAGATTTGAAAACTTCTAGCAAATTGGAACAACTGTCATTGTCATTCTTATTCAAATCTGCAATATAGCCAACAATTTCATATTGGTGTGACTACTATTCTTTGTTTATTAGTCTATTAATAGTGTAAAGTATTGAAGACAAAAATTAAGATTTTTCATGTAGACAGACGAAACTATTCTTACATGTAGCCAATATTTGGCGAAATAAATAAATGAATTGAATATTGTTCAATGCAAATATCAACAACAACAAGTTATTTTGGATCTAATCATATAAAAGAAATGACCATTTTCCTGGAATATTCAATTATCACGCTTATCACGCGTGACTTCATGCGGACAATTAAATTGATTAAAAAGAGAAATTAGACCGACTTGATTGAAAACATGACTGAAGCTGAGCCCCACGTGATATTTTGAGCACGTGCAATGGGGATGGTATATGAAGTGAAATAAAAAACAAAATGTTTTTGACAATCAATTTTTATGAATTCAATCAAATTTTCCATTTAAAAAACTATTATATTAATTCGAAATTCATCATATACATGATTGATGTATCAATTTATACTCTTGGCTCAAACTCTAAATGAATCCCGTTTGCGATGTTCCAGCTGAAATGTGAATAGCTCATTTTTAGAGGAATTTCGGTTTTCTCGTACGGTTGAATGTTGAAGTTTAACAGCAAATAGAATAGCAAGGCCTTTATTTCCATCAGAGCGAACCGTGAACCTGGAAAATATCCATTGAAATGAGAAGAAAATCCCTCTGTTTTCCCGTAAAAAGAGAATCATCAATAAAATTCGCTCACGAAAATCAACTCACCGACACAGCTACGCGGGCCGATTCCGAATGGTATATACGAGCCAGGTTTGATCTTGTGCTTATTTTCATCGCTGAATCTTTCCGGATCAAACTGTTCTGGATTTTCATAATTCTCCGGATCGTGATGAATCGAATAGATTGGAAAGCGAACTTCTCGGCCACGTTCGATCAAGATTTTTCTACCATCCAATTCAAATTCGAAGTCTTTGGTACATTTCCGTTCGGTCACCAATGCCGGAGGCCATTTGCGTAGTGCCTCAGATATCACTTGATCAAAGTACTTCATCTTTGGTAGTGTGTCATAGGTCAATCGACCGCCATTAAGACTTTCATTAGCTTCACGGATTTCTTCGTATAATTTTTGTTGAATGTCTTGGTTGAGCGCCAACTCATACGCCATAAATGTTAAACCCGTAGAGAGTGTATCAAACCCAGCTAAAAAGAACAAGAAACACTGAGAAATGATTTCGTCATCCGTGTAAGTGCGATTGACTTGACGCCTTCCAATATTCGACTCTTCAACTGTAGCGAAACCAGTATCATTTTCATTCGATTCATCATGATCGTGCTTGAGATTTCCACTACGAACTTGCATCATAATGTTGATCATATCGGGTCGTACAATGTTTTTCACTTCTCGCTCTTCCATAGTTGTTAAAACCATCGATTTGAAAAATTTCCTAACATCACTGCGGAATAGCTCAATATTCAGTGAACGCATTAGATGAGGAAACGCTCGAATCAGCCAAAATCGCAGCGTGTCTTTTTTGTAATTGAGCATTTTGCATGCGACTGTGAAGAAGTCATTGGTGGGATCTCTGAATGAGTCGACTTTCAATCCGTATGCGCACGATGCAATGACATCAATTGTGTAACGTGCAAAGAGGGTTTTCATTTCCCATCGAATCGGTTTGTCTTGCTTTGATTCTGCGATGAAATATTTTGCCATGTCGTCTGCACACTCAACAACCAATTCGAACATTTGCCGCATCTTGCTGCTGCTAAACGATGGCGACAACATCGATCGCATGTCATGCCACTTTTTTCCGGTGAATGAAAGCAAAGTATTCCCAATCAGTGTATCCGATTTGGAATCAATGGTTAAAAATTTACGATCGTAGAAATGGTCGGAGTATTTAATCGCTATCTGACGAAGGAAATCCACATCACGAACAAAATACACCGGCTTACGCATGTCGAAGAATCCAATCACCCTTGTAAAATGTTATTTAATTTATTGAATGAAAAAAAATCGTTTATGAAGCGAAAAATAGAATCAATGTTGTATAACGGAAGTGTTTGTCTTACTTTTCGTTTGGATATTGATAATACACCGAATTCAACCATTTGGCAAAACTTGTTCGTTTTGTAAATAGTTTAGCCGTATTTCCGAGTAAAAATGTTGGCTTCAAATGCTTTATATTGCGTTGCACAAAGTAATTTTGATTCGCGGTTGCCCATTTATAAAAGATATAGAGCATCATGACACCGACTAGGACTAGGGCGTAAAACATCGAATTTGATAACATTCTGATTTTAATTTGTTCACTCAAGAAATGAAGCAAAAACAAAATGTATTGAGTGTTGAGTTAAATGAGTCTAAATTCGGTGAAATAAGGTTTTTGAATCAAAATGTGATAATTTTTCTAAACCGAAACACTTTTTTCCAACGCCTATGCGAACTCCCAAGCTTAGTTAGAGAAAATGATTCAAAAATGTGTACTGAAAATAGTTCGGTTTCATGTCATTTGTATGACACTCAGGCGAAAACTGAAAGTGAAAGCGCAATTATACACTTTTAAATAGCACCGGCAAATAGCAACAAGTTATTTTGGACCTAATCAAATGCGGGCAATTAAACTCATAAAAAGCGTACACGTTGCTATCATCTTGACATCTTGACATCTTGAGCATACTCAATACTCATTATATACGCAAATCTAGGCAGATTTGCAAAAGTCAAAGAGACAAGACTTGATTAAAAAAAATGACCGGAGCTGAGCCCCACGTGATATTTTAAGTACGTGTAATGCGAATGGTATATGAAGTGAAATAAAAAACAAAATGTTTTTGACAATCTTAATATTTCTATGGATGAGATTGAGAGTGGAGTATGTTTTTTCTTCGATTTATATTTTTGAAAAGGCGAGTATGTTTTCTCATGATTCTGTTGGCGTTAAAGTAGAGTATGTTGGCCGTCTAGCCTCCTCGGTTTTCACGGTTTCCGCGCAACTGATAAGAGATAAAAACTTGGTGTCTTCAACAAAGTTGTAGTACTCGAGGTCTGAAGACTGAAGACAGTTGAACTCCTGAGAATATTCGTTGGACTTTATTACATCTTTCTGAAATACGGTTCTTAAAAAAGTCTAAATAAAATAAGACGAACACCTTATTGACTCCACAAAAAGTTTTTCGATCAAAATAGTCATAATTTCATTTGTCATTTAGATAAAAACTTGCAAACTATTACAAAAAAATTTTTCAACCAAACAAACGAACAAAAACGTGATTGAGTGATTGAATAGTTTGCCACTTCAAAAGCAAGAAAAAGACATGCCTATAAGTCATTTAAATGTATCGTTCTTTTGTTGCTTTTCAAAAAAAAATTGGATAAATTTTATCATTTCCACGTTTTTTTCGCTTCCCTTTAAATATTCCAGCTTGAAAGAGTGCCAAAGGATTTTGAACCAGGGCGCCAGCGAAGCTAGGAATGGTTCTGGCAAAGATGAACAAATCAACAACATTGTTCCAACAAAACAAAACGAGCTCCGATTGTGTTGAGAAAAAACGCGTAGCTATGTCGTATAACCCGAGCATCACCGATAAGCTAACGCACACATTCTCGCAGTTCAACATGCAGATTATGTACAAAAATGAAAATAAGCTGAAATTCTTATTAGGCTCGACCAAAGACAAAACTCCACCAACAAAAAAATCGGGCATATATATATATAGTATTCAGTGTTGTGAGGGTGCAAAAGAGTATGTCGACAAAACCAAACGACCGATAGAAGTAAGATACGGCGAACACACATACTGCACCAACACAGGAGCAGCGTATCAGTCACCTATAGATAGACGATAGACTCCCATTGGATTTTCACGAAATATCCGGAATTTTTGTACGGAATTCGAAAAAATGTCCGGAGTTTGGGAGCAGAATATCCGGAAAAATCCGGATTTCTTTGAATATTGAAAAATAAGGATTAGAAAATATGCTAAATGTGGTATTATACGAAATAGTTGGACAAAATTGAAGTGCCATAAAATAAATAAGAAAAACATGAAAGAAAATTAAGTTAAATAACAACATTCGATCTGTATTTCATTCTCTGAATAATGGTGTTGCCAGACATATGAGTTTTTACATCCTTAAACCCATGTTCAATGAAAAAAATTATTAGCTCTTTCTGTGCCGCCGAAGTTTTTGCCATGATTTTGAATATTCGGCATTGCACACAAACTGAACCGAAATTATATGCGTTTATTTTTTTTAAAAGATTTGAAAAGATTTCAAGCAACTGAATCAGTTGAACCGATTTCTTCTCTACGTTTCTTTTGTTCTCAGTTTGCTAACTGTATTGGAAATATATTCGCAATATATGTATATTGAATGAACTGTTAGTATATATATTAAATAGCAGCAAAGTGTTGTTGACATTGTTTATTTATAATAAAAGCAAAAAAAACACATTGACACTTCCAGACGCGATGGGAGGTCTACCTATAGATTTATTGTTCATTTAAATCATTAAGCGTCCATTAAAAATTCATAATTTCTGTAAATCAATCAATGTATCAAATATCAATTCATGCTCTCGGCTTGAACTCTAAGTGAATTCCATTTTTGATATTCCAACTTATTGTTGATCTGCCTATTTTCAGAGGAATTTCAGTTTCGTCATACGGTTGTATGTTGAAGTTTAACAGCAAATAGAATAGCAAGGCCTTCATTTCCATCAGAGCAAACCGTGAACCTGGAAAAAAAGTGCATTGAAATAAGAAGAAAATCACTTTGTTTTTACCCGCAAAATCCGGGATGCTTCGATGAAATTCGTTCACGAAAATCAAACGACTTCTTTTTTCCGAAATTCATCATTCCAACTCACCGATGCAGTTACGCGGGCCGATTCCGAATGGTATATACGAGCCAGGTTTGATCTTGTGCTTATTTTCACCACTGAATCTTTCCGGATCGAACTGTTCTGGATTTTCATAAATCTCCGGATCGTGATGAATCGAATAGATTGGAAAGCGAACTTCTTGGCCACGTTCGATTAAGATTTTTTTACCATCCAATTCAAACTCAAAGTCTTTGGTACATTTTCGGCTGGTTGTGAATATTGATGGCCATTTGCGCAGTGTCTCGGAGATAACCTGATCAAAGTACTTCATCTTAGGGAGTGTATCATAGGTTAACCGACCGCCATTAAGACTTTCATTAACTTCACGGATTTCTTCGTATAATTTTTGTTGAATGTCTTGGTTGAGCGCCAACTCATACGCCATAAATGATAAAGAAGTTGAAATAGTATCAAAACCCGCTAAAAAGAACAAAAAACACTGAGCAATGATTTCGTCATCCGTCCAAGTTCGATTGACTTGACGCCTTCCAATATTCGACTCTTCAACTGTAGCGAAACCAGTATCGTTGTCATTCGATTCATCATGATCGTGCTTGAGCTTTCCACTACGAACTTGCATCATAATGTTGATCATATCGGGTCGTACAATGTTTTTCACTTCTCGCTCTTCCATTGTATCTAAAACCATCGATTTGAAAAATAGTTTGATATCACTGCGGAATACCTCAATATTCAGTGCACACATTAAATCGGGAAATGCTCGAATTAGCAACAATTTTAGCGTTTCTATTGTGTTTCGCCTGGAACTGAGCAATCGGCATGCGACGGTGAAGAACTCATTTTTAGGATCTCTGAGCGAGTCGACTTTCAAACCAAATGAACACGATGCAATGATATCATTTGTGTAGCGTGCGAAGAGTCTTTTCATTTCCCATCGAATCGGTTTGTTCTGCATTGATTCTTCGATGAAATATTTCGCCATGTCGTCTGCACACTCAACAACCAATTCGAACATTTGCTGCATCTTGCTACTGGTAAACGATGGCGACAACGTCGATCGCATGTCATGCCACTTTTTTCCGGTGAGTGAAAGCAAACTATTTCCAATCAATGTATCTGATTTGGGTGAAACCAACGAAGTGCGATCTTCGAAATGGTCGAAGTATTTAATCGCTATCTGACGAAGGAAATCCACATCACGAACAAAATACACCGGCTTACGCATGTCGAAAAATCCAATTACCCTTAGGAAATGATATTTAATTTAGTAAAACAAAGTTGTTAAATATAACGGAAGTAATTGTCTTACTTTTCATTTGGATATTTGTAATACACCGAATTCAACCATTTGACAGGATTTGTTCGCTTTGCATTGAACTTCAACGTATTGCCGATCAAAAATGTTGGCTTCAAATGCTTCATATTGCGTCGCATAAAATAATTTTGATTTGCCGTTGCCCATTTGTAAAAGGCATAGAGTACCGTGACACCGACCAGGGCGTAGAACATCGAATTTGATAACATTGTGAGTTTAATTTGTTCACTCAAGAAATGAAGCACCAACAAAATGTATCTAGTGTTGAGTTAAATGAGTCTGAATCCGGTGAAAATTTCGTTTCTGAATCGGAACCTTATGATTTCTCCAATTCACAAAACTATTTTCCAACACCTATGGGAACAGCCAAACCAAATGAGAAAAAAAAACTTAGAAATATCTCAAAAATATGTACTGAAAATGTTTCGGTTTCATGTCATTTGTATGACACTCGGGCGAAAACTGAGTGTGAAAGCGCAATTAGACACTTCTAAATAGCACCGAGAAACAACAAGTCATTTTGGACCTTATCATATAGAAGATATGAGCGTTTGTCTGAAAATATTTGCTTATCGTGACTTCATGCGGGTAATTAAGCTGATAACAATCGAAAACATTGCTATCATCTTGACATCTTGAGCATCGGAAACTTACCCATTGATGCTCAAAAATAGGCCGATTTGCCGAGATGACTTCGAAAAATTTATCTAATCTTTATTCCATTAAAAATGGCTTTACCGATGTCAATTCGGCACTGCACTTAGATTTGAGTATCTAATGAATAAGTTTTCGAGGTGATAACAATGTTTCTGTTTTTTATCTGTTTAATTGCCGACATAAAGTTACATTACTGTTTTATGAATTGGCAAATATTTCAACGCGAATGGTTGGTCCAAAATGACTTGTAGGGCAAGGTGAGGAAATTCGAAACACCGCCAAATTTCGCCGCGAATGAATAGTTTGAGACATGTGAATAACTGTCATCGTTTTCTCTAAATAAAACCTCGTATTTCCATTAGCACACGACGAGTGTGTACGTACTGTTAGCTCTGTGCGACATCGACATGAAATCAAGTCATGAAAATTTAATATTGTGAATGCCTGTCTGCATTGATTCCATAACATTTTTCGAAAAATCGACTCAGACGAATATGTTTAAAATTATCGTATACCATTAATATTTCGACTCACAAAAGGAATTTTGCATAAAAAATACATTGAGTGACTGAAACACGATTATGCTCTAAACCTTAGTGAGTGGGGAATTTTGGAACGCCCTATTTACGGAAAATTGATCAAGTGATTTTCAATATTTTTCAAGTTGATATCGCATTTTTTTCAGCATATTTATTATATTTCACGTAAAATTTTAACAAACTACTCATTGCAATTTATGCGATCGAGCTGTCCAAAATGATTGGAAGCTATCTCACACGAACTCGGTTGACCGAAGCGCCATCTAAAGAACCGATGGTGAATTCGTGATGTCTGTATGTTATACTTCAGTATGACGTTTGACAGAACGGAAAGTTTACTTGATTGTATTGTCATTAGCCTTAGATTATCTAGGTGGTGTTTGCGCTCAATATCAGTTGTCAAATTCAAAGTGAATAGGAGTGTTGTTTATTGTTATAGAAATTGAAATTGAATTCAAAACATTTTTACTCAGCATAAAGTACGCATTCAATGGGCACTATGACATTTCGTTCAGAGCTTGCAATTTCGTTCAGTTTTAGGTCAGCCAATCAGAACAAAGTAGTTTTCAATAGCATTAGTCATTCTCAAATATGAATCATTCTAATTTCACACTTTGTACAACACAGTCAACCATTAAATATATTCCGACGTAAATCGCAGTTTTTCGCTTTTTAATCAAATAATTCTCACATTTATAACTGTCTACACGCTCTTCCTAATTCAGTTTTCGATTGTAAACGGCGGCGTGCAAAGGAAATATGCCGCCCGACGCAGAGATGCAATTTACCGCCCCAAAAGTTTTTAATAAATTCACAGAATTTAAGTTTTCCTGCTGCCATTTTCCACTCCCCATTGAAAATAAAATGTACTAAATTCAAACAATTCGAATTTGCTCATATAATGTTTGTTTATTGATTGCAAAAATCTGTCTTCAACTTGAAAATAACATTAGAATAAATTCATTTAACGTCAATTCTCATTGAAAGAATACTTGACGTGCCTTTGCTGTAGCAAATTTATTGATGACCGTTTCGTGTGAAATATCGCCAAGAAGTTCAGATTCGATGGAAATAGTTGCTAATTGACTTAGTCGATCTTGTCCCATTGTTGTGCGTAAATAATTTTTCGTTAGTTTTAGCTTCGAGAAACTACTTTCGGCTGAAGCTATAGTCACAGGCAAAGTCAAAAATACCCTCAAAGCTGTAGTCAAATTCGGGTATATTGGTACCAGGCCAAACTCGTAGATCTTATATAGGAATTCTAACGGCGACTTTTCCCCAGCATTATCAATCAGTGCTTGGAATGATTTTATTTCATCAAACAATTCAGTTGCGTTCACGTCTTTGCTGCCACCTGTTTTAGAAGTTAATGCAGTTTCGAGTCGATGACATTGATCTAATGAAATGCTGTAAGAGTGTAGATCGAACAAAAATCCAAATAAATGTTCCAATTCAGTCAAATGATCAAAACGCTCTTGTAGCTTGGACAAAGCTGCATCCAAAATAGGATAAACGAAAGATATTCTGAATTTACGTATATCATCACCATCGGAATCATCTCTTTCACGCCTGTCTAGCCTTTCTTGAAGAGCCATATTATCGAGTGCATTTGGTTCGAGGTGAAATTGACTTTGTATTTGTTTTGCCGAGTCGAACCATTTATCGATTGTGTTGTGTCCATCACCTTCACCTTCACCTTCTCGCACTTTCTTTAAGTAGCTCGTCAAATTTCCAATCAATTTCAAACATTGAGTGATGTCGATCGATTGCGATTGAAGTGATTTCGAAACGATATTTATTTTCGTCAAAACATTGTGCCAAACAACGACGCTACAAATAAAGCTGAATTTACTAATTTTTCTGGCCATATTGTTTGCATCATAGCTGTTATCGTCAGGATTCGGAGCGTTTGCAATTTTGCAAAATGCTGCATGTATTTTTGGCAAATTCATCAAACGGCATTTCGTTGCATTTTCTCGGCTGGCCCAACGTGTAGTTGACACATTTTTCAGAGTGATTTTGCCATTATCAGCCATCTCCTGTAGAATAGCCCAGCATTTCGGTGATTCCGAGAAAAACACAAAGCATTTTTGCACTGTGTTGAAGAATTTGTGTCTTGTTGAGTCTACAACTTTAGCGGTGTCATTCACCATCAAATTCAACTTGTGACAAGCACACGGAACAAATAGAGCTCGCGAATTCATTTCAAGAATACGGTTTTGTACACCTTTGATGCTTCCCGCCATGTTAGGTCCGTTGTCGTGGCCTTGACCTCGCATATCTTGCAATTTCAAATTGACTTTATTCAGCTCAGCGATGATTGAATTCGTCACACCTTTTCCCGTTGAATCTGTACATGGTGAAAATGATAGAAAGCGTTCAACGACTTTGTATTTGTTCTCTTGCGCACATAGTGACATAGTGTAACGTGACGGAGAATGATCGACAATTGCTCTATATGTGAGGGATCTGATGTACAATCAACCATTATTGAGTAATATTTGCTTTCTGTAACCGCTTTGATTATGATTTCCGTCACACTAGTGGCGAGGCATTCAATCAGCTCATTTTGAATTCGATTCGACAAGTAATTGCGTTTGTTGGTCGTTGTTGCTCGATTTAAATGATCGGCCATCACTGGATCAAATTTGGCAAGCATTTCCATCAGCTTTAGAAAATTACCGTTATTCTTGTCATACAAAGTGCTTGAGTGTCCACGGAATGCAAGTGATTGCTGTGCCAGAAATTGAATGCTTGCCACGAGACGTTTCATTAATTCTTTCCATCGATCAATTTCCTTGATGAGCAACTTCTGTTGATGTGAATCAATGGTCTGGTTTGTTTGCAATCGTTTTCGAAGCTCGATCCAAGTTTTGAAGGATTCATGGTGCTTTAAAGTGCTTTCATGGATTAACACATCCCGATTTATATTCATCCATGTTGAATAGCAACGACCTAAGGCACTGAATGAATTGGCTTTTCTATTGAATAAGGCGCAATATAAACAGTATACTAAGTCGCTGGACTCCGAGTAAATTAACCATTCCTGCTTATGTATGTGTGGCATAAAAAATGTTTTCGTTGAAACTGCGGCCATTGGTGCGCGGATAATCTGAGCAACGATTCGGGATAGGTTTCAATTCTGATTTCACTACTTGATCGATAAAGTAATTCGGCAAAACATCTGGCCACGTATGTGGATCGTAAGCATTAAAGTCGACTGATTTTCCACTTTCAGTTTCCCGTTCATCTTCACTTTTTTCGTCATTTTCATTCGCACTTTCAGCATCACTTGATTCGGATTTATCAACACTTGATTCGCGTTCGATGCCTTCTATCGGAACGGTTCCTGCCGATTCAGTTTCCATTGATTCGGTTTCATTTTCGTTCGTTGATGATCTTGGCCTCGGCGTAACATTTACATATCGGCTCATAGAGCCTCTAAGCGCAACAACGACTTCATCTCGTTTTTTTCTTTTTTTTCCGATAACTACTTCCACTTTCCTTCACTCGTTTATTCATGATTTGAAATTAAAAAGAACAAAATGTGAAATTGAATTGAACTTGCTCGGCTGACAATTGTATAGCGACTGATTATCCACGACAAAATCAAATTTGCAAAATATTGACTTCGGTATCCATACATAAACAAAACATTATTTTCAAAACAATTCCGATTTCGAGACATAGCTGTTTTGTGTATATTTTTGGTGATAACTAAGAAATAAATCATTTCAAATGAGTAAAGAAAATAACGTTGCATTTACTTTGATCGATCCAACTCTCGCTTCGCTAGATGTTTTGCCGCCTTTAGTTTCGCGAGAAAAAATTTTTTTTTCTGCAAAATTGCCGCCCGAAACAATTGCTTCGCCAGCGTCGTGCTTTGCATGCTACCGATCACACAAATGAAATAAAACTGAAATACGATTATACATTTTTGGCACATTCCAAAGTTTTTTTTTCACGAACTTGGTTTGTGGTTTTCCTGTTTAAAAATATTTCCATGGATCGTGGCATTTAACAGTCAAATAGACAATTGATTTTTAAAAAAATGATCGAAGCTGAGCCCTACGTGATATTTGAGCACGTAGTGTTGTATGAAGTGAAATGAAAATCAAATCATCTATGCCAATCATTTTTTTATTATTTTATTTAAATTGTTCATATTAAAAATCCATTGAAAATTCATCGTATCAATTTATGCTCTCGGCTTGAATTCCAAATGAATCACGTTTCCGATGTTCCAATTGATTGATGAATTGACTATTTTTAGAGGAATTTCGGTTTTCTCGTACGGTTGAATGTTGAAGTTTAACAGCAAATAGAATAGCAAAGCCTTTATTTCCATCAGAGCGAACCGTGAACCTGGAAAATATCCATTGAAATGAGAAGAAAATCCCTCTGTTTTCCCGTAAAAAGAGAATCATCAATGAAATTCGCTCACGAAAATCAACTCACCGACACAGCTACGCGGGCCGATTCCGAATGGTATATACGAGCCAGGTTTGATCTTGTGCTTATTTTCATCGCTGAATCTTTCCGGATCAAACTGTTCTGGATTTTCATAAATCTCCGGATCGTGATGAATCGAATAGATTGGAAAGCGAACTTCTCGGCCACGTTCGATCAAGATTTTTCTACCATCCAATTCAAATTCGAAGTCTTTGGTACATTTCCGTTCGGTCACCAATGCCGGAGGCCATTTGCGTAGTGCCTCAGATATCACTTGATCAAAGTACTTCATCTTCGGTAGTGTGTCATAGGTCAATCGACCGCCATTGAGACTTTCATTAACTTCACGGATTTCTTCGTATAATTTTTGTTGGATGTCTTGGTTGAGCGCCAACTCATACGATAAAAACGATAAAGATGTGGAAATAGTATCAAATCCCGCTAAAAAGAACACAAAACACTGAGCAATGATTTCGTCATCCGTGTAAGTGCGATTGACTTGGTGCTTTCCAATATTCGACTCTTCAACTGTAGCGAAACCAGTATCGTTGTCATTCGATTCATCATGATCGTGCTTGAGCTTTCCACTACGAACTTGCATCATAATGTTGATCATATCGGGTCGTTCAATGTTTTTCACTTCTCGCTCTTCCATTGTATCTAAAACCATCGATTTGAAAAATTGTTTGATATCACTGCGGAATAGCTCAACATTCAGTGCACGCATTAGATCAGGAAACGCTCGAATCAGCAATAATCGCAGCGCATTCATTATTTTACCCCTGGAACCAACTATTCCACGTCCAATTGTAAAGAACTCATTGTTAGGATTCCTGAGCGAATCAACTTTCAATCCGAATGCGCACGATGCAATGATATCAATTGTATAGCGTGTAAAGAGTCCTTTCATTTCCCATCGAATCGGTTTGTTTTGCTTTGATTCTTCGATGAAATATTTCGCCATGTCGTCTGCACACTCAACAACCAATTCGAACATTTGACGCATTTTACTACTGGTAAACGATGGCGACAACGTGGATCGCATGTCATGCCACTTTTTTCCGGTGAGTAAAAGCAAACTATTTCCAAGCAATGTATCTGATTTGGCTTCAACAAACAAACTTCGATCTTCGAAATGGTCGAAGTATTTAATCGCTATCTGACGAAGGAAATCCACATCACGAACAAAATACACCGGCTCACGCATGTCGAAGAATCCAATCACCCTTGTAAAATGTTATTTAATTTATTGAGTGAAAAAAATTCGTTTATTTTTATTGTTTTATTGCCATTATGGAGCGAAAAATAGAATCAATGTTGTATAACGGAAGTGTTTGTCTTACTTTTCGTTTGGATATTGATAATACACCGAATTCGACCATTTGGCAAGACTTATTCGTAGGGTGAATAGTTCAGCTGTATTTCCGAGTAAAAATGTTGGCTTCAAATGCTTTAAATTGCGTCGCACAAAGTAATTTTGATTCGCGGTTGCCCATTTATAAAAGATATAGAGCATCGTGACACCGACTAGGATTAGGGCGTAAAACATCGAATTTGATAGCATTCTGATTTTAATTTGTTCACTCAAGAAATGAAGCAAAAAGAAAATGTATTGAGTGTTGAGTTAAATGAGTGCGAATTCGGTGGAATAAGGTTTTTGAATCGAAATGTGATAATTTTTCTAAACCAAAACACTTTTTTCCAACGCCTATGCGAACTCCCAAGCTTAATTAGAGAA